CTTCGACGTCGAGATCATCGTTATCATATACTTCACGGGGTCCAACTTCAACACCGACGTCACCATCCAGTTCATCACCCTCTCTACGGACGCCTTCATCTTCATCATCAATGTGTGCTTCTCCTTCTGGCTCACTTTGTTCATAACCTCGTTCTGCATCGTCATCTTCGACGGCTTCTCCTTCCTCTTCTCCGGGAACTACATTGAACTTCTTCCGGATACGTCTCCTCCTCTTCTTCGTCTTCCTCGTCGATTCCGCTTCCTGGCCGAAGGACGTGGAAGTTTCATCACACGAGTCCGACATTTCATCACCACTTCATCCATCAGTGTAGATGGTGCGATTGACGTTGTCCTTCATGAGACCCAGAACCTTGGCTACCATCTTGGCTTCCTTGTCTGTAGCTGGACGATATTCCTCGTCACCTAAGTAGACTTAAGGGATCAAGTCTCTGACCTCCATCTTGATCTTCTCACCAGTGGACTTGGTCATATAGGGATCACGTCCACTGCCACTGGGAGTAGCCTTGTTCCATACATCTCTTACCCAGTGGCGGTGTCAAAGTCCAAGTCAACCATCGATGTAGTGGATGTCACACCGTTCGCCGTGTGGAAGTTAATCTTGTTGCTCTCATATGGGTTAAGATCCATCCTCTCGACTTTCTTGACAGAGATCAAGTCATGACCACTGCCTGAGTCCACGATGAATCGTCCGTCCCGAAGTTCAACTGGCATGGTGATGCACATAACATTACCCTTCTTCCCAAACTTCCCAGGTACATATGAGGTATGATGTCGTCCTCAAATAGTTCGGTCCTGGGGTCATCTTCAAGATCCTCGTCACTCTTCATTCTGACCTTGAGATCACTCCCAGGACCAAGGACAATGTGTACCTCATCAACATCACTGCATTCATACTGTGAGTCCATGAGCATTGCCATAGCACGACCACGAGTTGCACCAAGTTTGCATTGGAGAATCCCATTGCGTGTCGTCACAAAGCTGTTGAATAGTTCGTGTTTCCTTGTCAACGTTGTTGCATTTATTCCTTTGCCTTGAACATGGTATGTAGTCGTACTTGACATACTCAGTGATCTCGATGTGTTCATTGAACTTCACCTTCTTCGGCTCCTTGAGCTTGTTGGGGACCGTCTTTAAGATTACATCGCAATCATCGTCCACGTCGCCGACGATCGCAGGAGTGGCCTTGGCATTGTTACCTTTTGGCGTTGGAGGTGCTGCTTCCTTTCAATTCATCCTTGGGTCGTGCTTGAACTTGCATTTATCTCCTCTCTTGCATTCACATTTAGCCCAACCATAACAATGCCCGTTCTTCTTCCCACTTGGCGTTTGTGATCTTCCTGGCGACCTGCTCTTGCACTTGCCTTTCCCACCTGTTTTCTTCTTCTTATCCCAATGGTATTGGGAATGGCTATACGGACATTTGTCACCATGTTTGCAGCTGCCCTTGTTGAAGTGGTAATAACAGAAAGTCTCCACCTTATCCCTTGAAGATGATCTTGGTCTCGGCTTCCCACCCTTGCCATTGTGGTCCTTCGGGTAGGAGGATGGTAACACCGGAGTCGCCTTAGGCTTGGCCTTGGGATTAGGCGCAGCAGGCTTGTCCGCCTTGCCACCATAGTTCTTGTCATCACCTTATCAGGCGCTGGAGCAGCAGGCTTCGGAGCTGGAGTACTCGGCTTTCCAAGGGTCGTGTAGTCGGTGGCAAACTTGTCACGAGCTGCCATGTTCTTGTCCTCTCGAGCCCTTGCAATGTGCCGCTTCATGATGTTCAACAGCTCCTTGTAGGTCTTCTTATCGTCATCCTTCTCTCAATTGAAGATGACGAATGTCCTCAGGCTTCATGTCGGCGATGATTTCCAACCAGGCGTTGAGGAAATTATGCATCTCCTTATCCCCACGGTACTGTAGCTTGTAGAGATGACCGGCATTGAACAATGTTTCATCCTGCGATGTAGCATCATTGCAAAGATCTCTCTTCCCATCAAGAAGTTGCCCTTCTTCCCGAGTTCCTGACTTCTCTGCCTGATTCGTATTTTGACTTCCGAGGTCACCTCACCAGCGTTCTCGACCATGTTCTGAAGTGCGGCCGATAGCTTGGAGTCAATGGACTGAAATCGGAAATCTCCCGAATCTGCAAGTAATTCGTAGTCAAGATGAGACTTCTGAGCTGGATCCAAACAATCTTGCCAGGCTCGTATATCAGGATAACCAGATGCGACACAAACTGCATGGTCCGTTCCCGAACGCCACACATCCAAGTCTTGACACCTTGGCCATGGTTTCACGACTACCTTTTCATGCTCTCGTCGGGGCATCCTCGTGACCCATTCATCTGTCCGTCAGCTGTACTTTGCCCATGACTGATCCATCACATTGGTCCCAGATCCCAGGAGGGCTGGACAGGCTCGAACTTGCCCATGTTCTCATCAGCGCCTTTGATGGACCCTTGCCCTTCCTCAATCTGCCGTAGCCACGACTTGTATTCCCTCATCTCTTCGTAGTTCCTCTCAGCTCGGGCTTCTTGTTCAACAAGTTTGTCCCTGAGCTTCTGGTGGATCTCCTCTTGCGGGTTCGTAGCTTGGGTTGACGAAGAAGCGCCCATCTGGCTCTTGCTCATCATGTTGTTCACTGATGTCGTCAATGCAGGAGCCTTCGGCAATCCATATCGCTTTCATGCCACAGGGTTGAGGAATGGCATGAGGTGGAGGGGGTGCAGATTGCACTGCCTCCATCGCTCCACCACGCTGCGTATCGAGTTCACCAAGCTTCTTGTTCGCCTCCTGCAACTCGACGTAAAGTCTGCCGTTCTTCAAGATCGCATCATCTCTCTGAATCATGATCTCTGTTATTATCTCTTCATTCGTCCATTTGTCCATTGCTGCGCTCTGTTCGAAGATCCGGCCATCCTTCACGCGAAGTTCTTGTTGTAGTCGGCTGTGTTCTTGTCGAAGTTCTCCCACAACCTGTGAATTGGGCGAGTTGGCGACATCATCCCACTTGCCCTGCAAGATCTCAGCGGCACGTAGGCAAAGTTGATAGTTGACTTCGGATAGTTCAGTGTTCTCTTCCTTGAAGTTCCCCACCACTTCCTTGATACTGGCCTCATTGTCCAAGATCATGTCCTTGTCACATCGAAGTTGATCAGCAACCACTTTCGTTAATGCATTCATGTTCGTAGTTGCTCATCTTCCTTCTCTCTTCAACGTCATCTCGGAGTCCCTCAAGCTCATCCTCGCGTTGTCGAGATCCATGTTAGACAAGGTCTTCAGTTTACATGCATAGGCAATCTGATCACGTAGTTTCTGCTTCAGGTGCTCGATCATGAGATCCTTCTGCCTCATGTTCTCCGCAAACTCTGTGACCTGACCCTGCATTTTGGACTAGTTCTTGACCCTTGATCATCACGGCGTTCTGGGCGTTCGCCCGGAGATTCTCATATTTGTTCACCATCACCATCTCCACATTGGCAGCTAACCTCGAAGTGATAGATGCCATCTCCTGACGGTTCATCTCCTTCTTCTCGGCGACGTAATCGTGGCATTCTTGTTGAAGTCTTTCTCGTTGTTGCCGAAATTGTTCTGCCGCCTCCTCTGCGTCATGATCTTGTTCTTGTATGTGACGAACTGCATTCTCGAGTTCAGAGTGGTATCGTTGCCGTGCAATTTCGCTTTCTTGAATGATATGCCGTGCTCCATCCTCAGCAAGTTCATTGCGACGACCAAGTTCCATGATCCTCATAGTAGAGCCATCATCCATGAGATGTGCCCCAGCGAGAGCCTCAGACTGTTCACTCATGATACGTGCTGTACTGGCTAGTGATTCCCTCATGTACTCAACCTCAGCCGAGACATATTGTTGATACATGTCGAAGTTGTGGTTGGAATAGGCTTCCATTTCACACATTGCTGCATTGCGATGACGTAATGCGCCTTCAAACAAGATGACTCTTTCTTCAAGTTCAAACCTAGCTTTCTCACCCTTGTCCATCTTATTGCTGACATGTAGAAGTTGCTTGCGAGGTTCACTTTCGCCCCGGGCCGCGCTGTTGGAGGATTTACGTTTCGCAGTGCCAGCCGAAGGGCTTACACCGTTACTCCGTGTAACGTTGGCCGAAGGACCTACATTACTCTTGTCCTCTATAGCAGGTCTCGAAGGGCGTCTCGCTGATCTTGCCGAAGACGATCTCTGTGGTCTCCCCCTTGGAGTTGTTTGGCCGTGGCCCGCAAAAGTTCCGCTATGCGCACCTCTGCTGAAAGCCGCCCATGAGGTAGTACCTCCACCACTGCTGTCTCCTGATCCCGGTGTGTCCGATGGACGTGCCGGGGCCGCAAAGGACCAAGCGGTTTTGTTGCTGCTAGCGTTGTTCTGCGACATTGCTTCGGTTGCTGTGCTTCGCACCACTTCTGTTTACACCCGTCTAATCGACGGGTAGTAGGGCAAGGGGCGCGGGTTGCCGAGGTCAATGAAGATGAACTACGTTCAATCAGCCACCAGTCAAGCTTTGCAATGCCAAGTTTGGCTGAAGGTTGTGTGGAAGTAGCTCTTGAGCAGTTGGCTGCAGGACCACCGTACGCCCCAGGGTAGATCGCAATTACGGCTGATAAGCTGAGATTGGGTACAGGTCTGGTAGTACTCCGTGAGCTATTCGATGTTCACCAAAGATGCAAGGATTCCGCAGCTCGGAGCGCAGCAACCGTTTTGTCGTGTCATATCAGCGGTAAGGTGTCCTTGAGCCAAACCGCGGGCAATGAATTGAGTTGTACCCCTGGCTGGCCAAACAGCTGATCTATACATGGACGTGGAGTTGCATATGGCCTGCGTTATATTCACAAATTTAATATATATATATATATTATAGGAAAAACACAGCATGAATCTCCGACTTGCTGAACTGCCACTTTTCCAGCATGTTTACCTTGCTAGTGTTGAATATTTGGACTCTTGTGTCAGGATGTGTCAGGTGTGTGGAAGATTCTGGCCTCTTGGAGCAGTTTTAACTCCACTGTTGCATGCAGACGCTCTGGCCAGCCACTTTGGCCGGAGAAGCACCTATCAGCACAACTCATTTTGAGCATTCTAGTATATTCTAGATATTCTAGTTATACCTTATTATTTTATAGATTATAGAGGTGACCTTTTGAGCAAAGCCACATTTTGTTCACTTAGACTATCACATTTTGGCTGACATCCTCACGACTCACACGCACCCTCTGTAAATGATCTGCTGCCCACACCTCGTGACTTCTGCAATTCGCGCTTGCACAATGGCATTCAAGGCTTCCTCGTCTTGGCACAGATGGACGCACACAGGTTCTCCTGAAACACAGAAAATGCAACAAGTCTGGGGAGTCCCCTCTCGACATTGGCGGATGAAAACCCGTGAGTGGCAATATGTGGCAACGTGTCTGTGTGCCCAGCCTCTCAAATGGCATGGCATAGGAGCCTCCTCGGCAACCACAGGCACCTCAACACCAAACGGGCATAAATCTAAAGATTTATATAATAAGACGATATAAGACGTATGTGAAGTCTGATGAACTCTGATGCGATCTGATGAAATCTGATGAAATCTAAGTGATCACTTGAGGTGGTAGCGACAGCAAGGCTCCAGCAGAATCCTGAGTGATCCTGAAGAGTCTCTGCGAACCCTTGGCCCCAAAAAGTATCGACCATGTTTTGCTTGTGATTCCGATAATATTACTATCACTTAATATCAACCATCTAATAGCAATGTTTGAATGACATACAGAGTCCTACCAGAAAGTGATTTCGAGATATTTCGAGATATTTCGAGGTATGAAGCATCACCTCAGCCATGACCCGGAGTCTTAAGGTACGCTGGCACCGGGCCTGGCTTGGCACAGCTTCCAATTGTGCAAGGGTGCGGAAGGTCTTAGCAGCAGCCTCTGCGCCAGCAGCTACCCAATGACTCGCCTTGCAGAAGACACTGTCTGCATGGTCCTTGTTAAATCCCTACTTCCGCATCCAAAGAGTGCACCGAACAAGGTCAAAAATAAACTGGATGTCTGTGACCCAGGCCTGCTAAGCCAAAAACAATGGGAAGCACAACAGCTACCAAAGCCATGAGGCCAGTGGGGGCGTTCAATTCCTATTGTCCCGGAGTTCTCAATCCAATAAAGAAAGCAACCCACGGGATGTTCACTGGCCATTTATTGCATTTTGGACCATCAGCCGCCACCTGAAGACGCATCTTGAACCTGCCTTCGCATAAAATGCTGGACGGAGAGAAGTGGCAGCAAAGGCTAACCAGCATTTTACACAAATGAATCGCGGAACTGGAGATAAGCTGAATAGACAGACCACTCGCCAGCGGTGTCAGACGCACCCTAAATTCAGATGAGCACAACATCCTAAGCAGAAACCAACGACCGAAGATGGTGAAGTCTCTGGCACTTTGCCCAACAACCCATTTGCATTTCACACTGGAGAGTGGAACAGTCCCACCCGTCCCAGTCGTCCCAGCCCAGCTTCCTGCACAGCAGAGGAGGACTTTGCCCAAAGCAATGCTCCACCACCCTGTTCCGCCAGCAGTGGAGTGTTGGCTGAATTCGCTGCCTTCAAACGCAGCTCCTGGAAAACATTTCAAAGTTGGTGGAGAAGGTTCGCGAGTCAAATTGAGCTATGTGAGCTACAGTAACAAACATTCCCAGTTTGGCGGATAAGTGCACAATGAGAATGACCGGCTATGTGTTGCATCAACTTTCCAATGCTGCCTCTGATTGTAGAATTTGTAAAGTCCAGAGTCCAGACTTCGATACCCATTTTGCTTAGCTTGGAATCCAGCCAAAGACAATGGGGAAACTGGTGAAAAGGGTTGAAAAAACATGAAATAACACAGGCCATGATAAAAAAATACCATGAAACACCTGCATCTCGCGGAAGACTCCATCCACTTCTTCGAGCTGCTGAGGGAAGTACAAGTCCACACTTCGTTCCAAGCTGTCCAACCTCCAAGTGGCATCTAAAAAGCAGTGGAAACATTATGAAACAAATATGAAACATCGGTCAGGTGAAGAGAGCACCAGAAAATCTACCGATTCTGGATATAAGCTGGATATAGTCTGGATATAATCTGAATATACTGTGACACTGTGTAGATCACTATGTAGAGCCCTATCATATGATTCATATGCACACTCTGTCTATGTCTGACATTGTGACTGTGACCCGTTAAAGCCGAAGTGCTCTTGGGTGAGGTCTGTGAGAAGCTCTTCATCGACCTCTGACATCTCGACCTTGGTCCAGGATCTGGGTCCACGGCAACGGTCTACCAGTCTCCGGGGAGTTTCGAAGTGTTTTGCCATGCACAACGATGTGCAACCGAAAGCTGAGCCATCACTGACGGGTTGGGGAAGTATCAAGACAAAGGACATCGACAAATGCCGTGCCCCTCTGCGAACAGCTAGTCGTGGTTGCAAAGGGCTTCTGAGCAGCCTTGCCATGAAAGCCATATTCCAATTTCAGCCGTGTGAAACTTCGAAAAACAAACCTTGTGGGATGTCCAGTCCAGTGTATTCGTGATTGTTCCACATGCTCTTGATAATCTTGATACTAATATCTTTCATAATATTCATAATGCAGATACAAGAAGAAGAAGAAGAAGAAGCAGAAGAACCACCCAGAAGCAGAAGAAGCAGAAGAAGCACAGAAGACCACAGAACTCTTGCCTGGTCATGTCCAATCTCTCTTTTGCGCGAGACTGGGTCTGGAGTTGCCACGTCCTGAACTACGCACAGCCGGTTGCGCAATGTGAGTTGTGCCAAGATTGGAGGGACCCTTGCCTTTGGGAGCAACGCCCAAGACATTCTCTTCATGTGATGCATTCTTTCAGAGTTCTCTCATGCATTCACCCTTCGATCTTTCTCTCTGAACTCGCAGTCTCTCTCTCTCTCTCTTTGTGTGCCAACTCTGATATCTGTCAATTTGAGGCGATCAGCAAACAAACAACCCCTTCTGTGAAATAACTCTTCAAGATCCACATTACCTAATGAAAACAGATGACAGGAAGCAGCTCCACACTCCAACCAAGCTTATGCACAAGCTACCCTTCCCTTTGTGGTCACACTCCCTAACTTCTAACAATTTCTCATTCACAACTTCTTGCCTCAGCTGGCTCCAGGCTCTCCTCAGTCTTGGGATTCCTGTTGCCACCGTGCCGCGGTGTTCGCGGCGGCGTCGTCAAATGGCGGCCGAGTCTGGAAGAAGGTTTCCTTGCCGACAAGAAAACACAAACTCGGGAGATCTCGAGAGCATCAGCTTGTCATGTGCAGAACTGCTGCAACGCCAACCACTGAAACCTGGAAGTTTGATATTGCAGTGTATATGAATGTCCTAGAGCCCTAGAGCAAGAAAATCGACACTTGACCGAGGGCCTCTGGACCAGCGCCACTACTGGCTCTGTTGCCTCTACTGCCTCAAGTCTTGGCAACCTTCCTGCTGCCACTCGTGCAGACCTGGCCCGTGGGAACCCTGCGAACCACAGTTCGAAGCGAATCAGCAGAATCTCTCTGGGTGGTCTTGCTATTCGACTCAATCCCCGAAACAACAACATCTGGCGTTCACGTTTGTCAGCTTGGAAAGTTGGTACAAGCGTGATCCTCCGCAGCTTCCAGCGGCGTTTGGAGAGTGGAAACAAATCAAAAAAATCAAGGCAAAATTGTTTTTGATTCGTCTTTCGGCCTCCCTGGAATCCCTGGATCTGGCTGATGAACACAGGTGATGGGAGCTTGACATCGTCTTTCACCGTTCCCAGAGTCGGTCGCTTCCATATTGGAGGCTACAGCGACACCAATCCTTGGCGACATGTGTCACGCCAGTTGCTTCAGTTTCATCATTTCTTCAAATATGTGTGTTGTTGTTGTTGTTTTTTGGCATTGCCTCTGTCATATCTTGCTCATCATTCGAGTTGAGTTCTTCATGAGTTTGCAGCTTGGAAAGTAGACAGTATACAGTATACATGTGTTATGGTAGATAGAACCCCTTGTGAATTAAGTCGGAACGTCATGGGTCCCCATTTTAAACAGGGTCCTCTATAAAACGGGAACCCATGACCCTCCTGGGGAAGGTACACCTCTATAAAATGAAAAATATCAAGTTTGTAGAGGCCATCACTTAACCCTCGTTTAACCCCAAAACCCTTCAAACACTATGAAAGGGGGACCCATGACATATCGTCGAGCCTATCTTTATTTTTCTAAACTTACCCAAAACTCACTATAGAATGGGGGCCTATGACCCCCCCAAATGTCTGGATTTCCTTAACAAACCTTAAACCTAGAGTTTTCTTGACGTCATGGGTTCCCATTTTATAGCGATTATACACTCTTAAAAACCCTGATTTTCTGATGTCATGGGTTCCCATTTTATAGTACCCTGGGTCCTTCCTTATAAGTCCATAAAAATCCATGACATTTCGTTATCTTCCATTCATAACTCTTAAGGGCTATAACCATATGATACCATATGGATCGACCCGCGGTGATCTGGACGTATGGATCGGACTGGGCCACCTGCGTTTTGGTATGCAAAACATAAAAACAAAAATCAAAAGCCATAAAACGTTCCAGAGTATTCCACATATTCCACATACTCCAGATACGTATATACAGGCATAAAGTGCCGCATGAGGCTGTGGTTTCCCATTCTGTGCAGGTGGTTTTTCCTTCCAAGAAGGTGTTTCCCTGCATGCTGACATCTCTATTTGCAGGGTGATGTTCTTCTAATGGTGATGTGCTAATGATTTTCTGTTGCTATGTCCCGTTTTGCCTCCATAAAATGGAAAATTATACAAAACATGACCAAAAAACACAAAAAACATAAAACATTCCAGAATATTCCACATATTCCAGATGTATACAGGTTATGCCTCTATAAAATTGAAAATGGTGTAAAACATTACCAAAAAAAAACTTAAAACATTCCAGAATATTCCACACAGACCAGATACAGGTTATGCCTCTATAACAAGTGTAATATGGCTCAATTTTGGGTATCCTGAAGCTTTTGGATGCATTTTGTAAAACGTGGTTAAAGTTGTAGCATGCGGTAGCAATATGCAATTAGCAATAATTGTGGCATTTCTGAGTTTTTTTCCGTTTTAAAGTTGCGGATGTTCTAAATTCCTTTATCTTGAAACGGCCATTCTTCATCATTCTTCGCGAATCAAAAAAGTAATTTCGCGAATCTTTCGCGAACCCCACGTTTTTCTTCCGCAGGGGTCTCATGTTAAAATCTGTTGCTAAATCTATCGTCAAAAAAAAAATGTCTCAAACTCAGAAAAGAACTTTCGCGGGGTCTGATGTTGAAACCCAGCGGCCTTGGCAATTAAAAACCCTTACATGGACCTTTAGAATGACTCCCAGTTGTATAGGTTGGGTTTTTATGGGATGGGTAGGGTATGATATGGTGTGGTATGGTGTGGCATGGTGTTGGTGATGTATGATTGTTTTGGTGATAGCAGCTTCAGCCACTATAAAATAGGAACCGGGAATCCATGACGTTGGAAAATTGCAGTTTTACGGGGGTCTATGGTCTCCACACAATGGGAACCTATGACGTTGTACGTGGCTGTCACCCAGCAGGTGAACATCACCATAAAATGCTGCTCTGACCACCCCAAAAAAATCTGTATAAAATGGGGGACCACACTCGAGCCCTCAAAATGAAAGAAAAAATGTGTATAAAAAAATGCTCTTATCCGGTCCATATCCCTCCCCTTGTTTTTGAGGAAATTCCTAAGGGGATGTAGATAGACATTGGTAGACACACCAAAAGAATCGGAAGCCTCTCGGCTCCTGTCTACCCATATATCAGCAAATTGCTGGAAAGTTTTTACGAAAGTGTACAACCAAACACGAAAACATCACCACAATTCCGTAGGTATCGCAAGTCAGATGCCTTACAAGCCCAGTCACAGGCCTTGACGAAGTTGACTGGAGGTTTCTGTGTGCAAACAGAATTAGAGCAGCGCATCAGGAAGGTCGAGCACCATTCCGATATGTCCCGTCCCTTGTACTTTGCACAGGCAAGAAACTTACATCGCTTGGGCTTGGCTTGGGTCCAATGGACAATACCAAATGAACAAGTGTGAGATGGTCTGTTGCCAAGTTTCTTTCCACGAGCCAAGACTGTTCCAAACCAGACACGAAAGTGTTGTTGTTGCCCCCTTTAAGAAAGGACAGGGTCGAAGAAATTGCTGCACGTACAGTGTACAGTAGTCATTGATGGAACTGATAGTTCTTGAATGAAGCACAAAAAGAATTGTTGATCAGCCGCTCAACGGTGGCATAGGACAAAAGTGACAGGAGCCGGCCCAAAGGCAATATGGGAGTTGAGATCGGGCTGGGTCTTCATGGGAGGTTGCAATAGTCGAACATACAAATGCATCCACAAATGCCACAAATGCCTGCTTTCAGTCATCCCCCATCAAGGAACCCTTCACAAAAAGAGCATGCACCCCAGCAACAAATGCAAGTTTACCATCATCAAATACTGTATCTTGTCAGCAGTGGAAAAACATCAAACCTGCATGTGTACGTCACATGCCGATGACTTTCTACAAGACAGGACAACTTAACCCAGGTATACACTCTGTAGAGAGCAGCATTCCAATCTTTCCGTGCAGCAAAAATAAAAATACAAGAGCTGTGCGGAAAGGATGTCACAAGGCTTGAGATGAAGAACCACTGGGAAAGCTGTAGGCTGCATTTTGAACATTTCAAGATGAGTGATTTCAAATATCTCAAACCTCACCTCTTTGGTGGAGAAACCCCTTGGGGGTTTCCAACCAGAGGACTCTGCGCCCTCGATTCAACCCGCAAAGGGACTCGAAAAAAAATCAGGATTTGAAGAGACTTTGCATGGAGGGTCACTTTGCATCTATATAGAATCTATACAAATCGCATGAAAACTAGTGAAGTGCCTGAACTTACTGTCTCTTTTTGGGCCGCTAGTGGACAGTCTCGGACACGCCATAGGCTTTGCCATCCTCAGCGCCCGCCTAGTCACCTGCCATGGCAAATTCACGTATTATAGAAACGATGGAGAAGTCTGTTGACGTTGAAATGCCAGCATTGACCAGCCTCTTTGCTCAGGTCCGTAAAGCCTGCATCACTCAGATCAGTCAGACCTTCGCACAGCCGGGTCCTCTTGCATCTAGAGTTCGGAGTGGCAATGTGTTGGAATGGATCGACATGCAACGTATTTTGCTGTATCTTTCCACACTCCAGCACAGCTGCTAGTCACTTTTAGACCCACTTTTGAGACAAGCGGCCACCCTTCTTGCATTTGGGAGATATGGTCGAAAAGCTCCTGTCAAGCCGGTCTCACGATTCCACAGTCACGTTCCATACCAATATCTTCAATTAGCTGCAACCTTGGTGTTCAAACATATTCAAGCATGAACTCTGAAAGACAAATGGTCCATGGTATCAGAGACCAAATCCAAATCACTTCATTTTAAAGTATGCCACTACACCAGACAAGATCAGACAAGGATAGGCAACACAATCCATGGTTTCTACCTGCCAAAATGATTCAATATGCCTCTCGGCTGAGATGACTGGTGGATTGCACGATTGCAGCATGCACAGCTCCTGATCCATCATCGAAACTGGAATCTCATCAGGCACGCCTGACGGAGAATTGGAGGATGCCTCCAGTAGATTCCAGTAGACCATGTCACAGTTTTTGTTCACGATCCACTGGACTATTGTAATCCCCTGAGCGTGTATTGAATTTACTGTTTAACGCTGACAAATCATGAGTCTGATCATCTGATCCTTTCATATCCTCAATGATTCTCTTGGCCTTGAAAAATCACTAAGGGGAAAAGACATGGAGATCTGCCTAGGCGGCGTTGGAGCTCAGCAATGATCTCACTGCCTGGCCATGTGGCACCACATGTTGGTTGCCACTTTGCACAACTCCCAAGTGCCAAGCCCAACCAGGTCAGCTCCACTGGATGTTTGTTCCAACTGCGAGATCATCTGGAAGTTGATCTTCCACTTCGGCTTGTCCATGCCCTGCGCTGCACAGGTTGAAGCTGGAACTTCTTAAACACCGACAAATCCAGCGACCCATCACATGTCACAAATCCATACAAATCCCCACACGAAACCCAAGAGCTGTTCAGGAGATTGATTCTTGACAACTTTGAAACATCTGCGCAGAACCAGAACCTTGACATGTTGGAACCTGTCCAAACCTTCTGGATCCTAGTGCTCCACTTTTGCTGCCCCTGATCGCCCCATTTCAAGGTATGTCAGAAGACCAACCAAAGCTGCATGTAAAATCATTGGGCGAAGTTGTTGGCAAATCTCTGTAGCCCGTGCTGCCAACCTGGAAAATGAAAACGACTTGATGAAAAGAATTTCCAGCAGTTCCACCCAGCTTCCCGATGACCTCGTACACCCTTAGAATCCATCGCTGACTTGGGGCAATAGACAATGGCCCACTCCAGGCAAGGTCCCCTTAAATCCAATTTGAGGTTTGCTTACGGATCCAGGAATTCTATGTCTTCGCGAAGAGCCATCCTATGTCCCCCCAGCCTCACTCAGCCAGCCCTGTATGTCGAAGCTCGTGCGCGGAAATGTGCAATGCAAACAGTGAAATGGGATCAGGCAAGATGCTGATACTGTACCAGTATGCATATGACACAATGGTGATTTGGTATGCTATGGTCCAAAGATATGGTGACATCACAAGCATCATGACTTCCAGCAAAGAAAGCATTGGAATCTACGGTATGTACAAAAAATCCCACAATGGCACTGGGTGTTCAGAGGTCTACAGTGTCCTACAGCAAAAATTCCCCTGGGAAAGAGTGGAGCATCCTTCGTGCTTGGCCAATGCTTCGCCTCAACAGCTTCTTGCAGTCTCCCGGAGCCTTTGCGAAAGAGTACAGTGAAGACAACAGCTGGAAAGCTGGAAAGTCAAGTAAGAATTCCATTGAGATAGCTGATTCATTTGAAATCAACTAAAGACAAATAGTGGGATGGCCACGTGCGATCAGTTAAATTTCCCCACAACGATCGCAGTACCCATGGGATAAAAAAACGAAATGTCTACTTGAAACACTTCACCCTCTCATTTTTGAGAGCCAAGCGTCGTCTCTTCCGAAAAAGCTTGTAAAGCTTCCGGACACGTTCCTCTGTCAGTGTCATCTTTTTGGAACTAAATACTGGCATGTGCACTCCGGAACATGAACCTGACACGGAATGGGCCTGAAGCTCGTCTTCACTTTTCAGGACGCTGGTTTTGAACCTTGCCAGATCTGGGAAGCAACAGTGCCTTCCAAGTTCCAAAATCATCTGATCCAATAGCAGTGGCACACCAAGCACTGGACGTGGACCAGTCCAGCAGGTTCACAGCAGCCCCTGGCCTCAGCCGACCTCACAAGCATACAGTTCACCACATTGCAAATCAGAGCAGCTTAGATCAAGAGGATCAAGTTGACAAATGTTGATAAGAACTCCAAAGTTTCTGAAAACCTTGGGTGTAGCGTCAACAAGGAAACACTGGCATAGCAGACAAATGCACTTTTTCCCAGCGTTGTGTGGACAAGGTGCAACGAACAGAATCCCATTCCCAACACTCCAAAGGACCATGAAAAGATCCATGCACCATCGCATAAAATGGAGAGCTTTTGAACTGGCTGGGGATTGACTTAACATATTGTCACTACAGGAAAGGAGAGTTCAGACTCAGTACCAAATGTGCTTATGACTGCCGAAGTTGGGAGGGGGGTGATCAAACTGTAAAGTCCTACCGGAAAAGGGCGATGCTACTGGCAACTCGTTTCACTTGAGTATGAGATGCTGTACAACTCGAAGTAAAGAGGATCTTTTCTGATTGGTTCACTGGTTCTTCCTGTGCTTCACACCCCTGTTGAACGATGACTGGGAAAACTGTTCGCAACTCGAACTCTAAACCTCCATTCGACTCCATCCTTCTATTGTGGCGAGCAGGGTGCATTAAGAAGTTCATCTCCATGTGCCATCAGGGATTGGTCCCGACAGGTTACACACCGTCGGGCCGTCGGGTCGAACATCCTCTGCGCGGCAGAGGCTCTGCTGTCAACATTGAAACAGCGATATGAATCAAACATGAAACTCGATGCTACTCGATGCTAATTGCATCAAATTTGCATCAGCACATCTCAGCACAGGAGGCTTCAAACCTCCTGGGCTGTTGGACTGAGGAATTGAATGGCACCCGGAAACATCAATGGAGCATGTCTACCCACATATCCGTAGGCAAAAAAAATCTGCTGCCTTGTTGGGTCGCCTGATACAGTAGTTGTGCATTTTCAATTTTCTCAGACTCACCGATGCTTTGGAACGTCGGCCATGGCTGGCATGGAACGACTTAGCCACCGCTCTGCAGCACAAACACTTGGACAATAGTTACAAGCTGCATAAGCGGCATCAAATTCCTGTGGACAAAGTGCATGCAATGGGAAAGATGCAGATGAAAGTTCCAGAGGTTGGTCACGAGCTTTCAGATTTGCAAGGCAGGTGATGTGAAAGCGTAGAGATCAAAAATCCATAAAAATCCCAAACAAGAAAATTCTCAATCTAATCTCCATTGGCCAAACTCTGGAGGTATTTAATTTGTAAGCTCAGAACCTCTCAATTCAGGAGCTCCCTGATTGATACCCGTGCTCGAGCACTTTTCCTCAAACACCAACGACTCCATGCTTACTAGAGAACAAAAGGAAGTTGTCTTCAAGTGCTTTTGATGCATTTGTGAACGGGCAATATCAAAAATTGACCGAAACTTCTACCCGCTATTTCGGGGAGGGCAAAGGCAAAGGTGTCGAACGCAAACCGTTTCCAGCAAGATCATGAGGCCGGCGCAAGCTAAAGTATGGTCCTGCAGGTCCTGCATGATCCTTTTTTCATTGGCATCAAGCAGGGATCAAGATAGACTCAGATAGACCAAGCATCACTTCTTCCTTCGCCATGTCCACCAGTCGCTGGTCTCTGGCTTCACGGCTTGCACCCAACAGCCTCGACATCTGAAACTTATTGACACCATTTGAAACCATTTGAAAGCCTTTCTAGTGGAATAGAATGAAATAGATTGAGTAGGATCTATGTCTTGGACTCTCTCATAAAATGTCCTCAAGGGTTAAGGGTATTTGCAACGTGTCGAGGCTCGAAAAAACGTGTGAAAATGTGTGAAAGAATAAAGAATCCAAAATCGACCCCTACAATGTACAGCGGCGTACATCATACATATGGAGTCTCCGTTTTTGCGCCTCAAGAAGGGCTCGAAGAACTGGGCCTCAAACTTTGGCCCCGTTGGGCCTCAGACTGGGCACCAGTTTCAGTGCACGTTACAAGAAGAGGCAAATCAACCGGAACTCCTTTCTCGGGGCTGGCGCCACTGAGTGGCGCTAAAACTCCAAGACCCTGACTGTTTAAGCGGGTGACCACCTGTTTTCCAATTAATCGCACAATGCGGCAGGAACGCAGTGAACTTGAGCTACTGAGGTGTAAATGGTTCCGTTTTGCGGAACATTTACCAACAGCAAAAACTGTTTCTGGCCTCCAATAGCTGCGGAGGCATTTGTTGCAACGCTTCCGCCGCCGCTAGGCCATTACCTCAACATCGCATCGCTTCACCCTATCAATGCCGATGCCAAGGCTTGCAACAGCGATAATATATAATGAAAATATATATATATATCATTCTTCCGTTGATCTGTTTGTTCCCAACTTCTCCATTCTGCTTGGGGAAGTGCTAAATAAGTTGTACTGACATAGTATACATATCTATCTATCTATCTATCTATCTATCTATCTACCTACTGGCAATACTGATAATACTGATCATGTAGTCATTCCCATGCTGGTACCCACCAGGGTTCTGTGGCCACAGACCTTTCTCCTTTTCTGCCTGCACATGCGTTGGAGGTCCCAGTCCCAGGTTTCAAAACTGATCCGCCTGCGTTCAAAAGCACCAGTCTTGCCCTAAACACTGAGGCAAAATGTTGCCTTTCAACCTACTGTACTAATCACGCAATACCTACTGGAACGACTTCAGAACTCCGGAATACAAGGTCTGCACTGTGCCCTGTCCTTCAGCCACGCGTTCACAGCCTAAGTCATAAAAGATTCGAACTTGTTGAACTGATTGAACTGGTTCGTAACAAGGCCAGATTTGGTGTTTTCTTTCAAGCTGCTCTGGGCCAAGAAACTGTCCCCACGCGTGCACGCTCTCGATGTGCCTGGACTTTGGTGCAAAGCCTGTACCAACCTGACAGAGCTTTGAGTGGCTTGAGGTAGGGTACTGAAGGTGTTCCTTTCAGTTTAAGGGCAACTTTTCATTCAGTCTCAAAGGGGAATGCAGAGAAGGATAGTGGAAGGAGCCATTCCTCTGTCGACTCTTGGGCGGACCTGGAAATCGACACATTCGACACATTCGACACATTCGACCCATTCGACACATTCCACAGATGTCAATCACATGTCCAGGCACTCTCTGCCAGTCGCCAGGCAGGACAGCGCAGCAGAGTCGCAGCATCACCAAAGCCCGGTTCAAAACTGGCGCAGCAAAGCTATGATGCTATGCTTAGGCTATGCTTTAAAAAATTGTCAATACCAATGCCATGAATGCCATGAACAGAGACTTGACAATGCCAAGACCTGAAGAAACAGAAAGATATTTTAAAGAAGCCTGGCTGGTCCATGTGTGTATGATTTAGTATGTTTCGCATATACACATTTTATATGCCGGTTTACTATGTATCTTTCTTGGGTCACTGGCAGGCAACAAAGGTGCAAAGGAATGCACAGGAATGCAAAGGAATGCAAAAGGTGCATTTCACTGTTCTTCTCAAGTTCCAGTCCTGGGCTCCGCAAGCTGCTCGGAGAGGGATCGCAAGGTGTTCCAGGCATCGGCCAACCTGTGGAGCAGATTCCGGAAATTTAACCAGGTCAGACTGCCAAACCCTAATTTGAAAGCCTCCCTTTCAAAACTCTAATTCCTTCGTATCCTTAATCCTTAATACAGTTTATACATGTTAATACATCGTTAAGGCGATTCAGCACGCAGAATTAGAGTAATGGCCATTGGCCATTCTTCATAAGCTATAGCGACAAAGACTTCCGGGGAAAGTTAGGACCCCACCGAATGCTTCTAGGCTGAATAAACAAAGCGCCAACGACTCAGTTTGTTTCCAAGAAGCGCTTCTGCAGTCCCTTCTTCCAAAGGCTCCGTAGGGTCTTCTTCCTCAGAGCACAAAATCTCAAACTCCTCAAATTGCTGGCACGGCAAAGTCGCAAAGCATCGGAAAGCATCGCGAAGGGCAAAGCAACACTTCTAGGTTCCCAAAGCACCTCAAAGCCTACGCTGCTGTCAGGTTGCAGGCAGAATGTCTGCTTCCGCCTGTAAATATTGAACCTTCTCCTGGCACAGCATGTCTGTGTCGATCTGAACCAAAGAATTGGCCAAGTGCTGCAACGAAGCCCTGCACCTGCTTTTCGTTGAGGTCAAAGAGCGCCGAGGGGTTGAGCAGCCGTTGGATCTTTGCACGACCCACCACTCGGTGCTTTGCTACATACCTAGAAACAAACGAGAAAATACTCAGAAACTCTTCTTTCTCAACATATCTGCCAATTTCTGACTCATCTTGCATGTCCCTCAGGCTACCCACATGAACGGACATGTCAATGTGACGTCCAAGATCTGCCTCTCAACTTTGCTGAAAGAAACACACCATGGAACTGCTCAACAAGGAGTACAATTTGCATTGACTTCCAACTTTTTGCCAACCTCCAATGATTAATTGAATCCTGCTTCATCCAACCAGAGAGGACCCTCTAGGTACAAAAGCACAGGCAACATCGGTCGCCCCAATTTCTGCTGTCTAGCGACTTTACCAAGCCATCAGTTTGCTCGGTGGCCTTCAACAGGTAGTTGATACAAGCAAGCAGAGCCAAACTCTCAGGTTTAAAAGCTAGACAGTGTTTGCAATGTTGCTTCTCTTCCCAATAGCAGGCTTTCTCAATGGCTCATACCACTAGCAAAAAACTGATTGACTGACATGTTCAAACTCTCAGTTCTGCAATGTGAGCCTCTGAAGGATCACTTCCCCTACAGAACACCTATATAAATTGTATGCAAAGACTACCTTTTCCATCCTGAGTTCCTTGTTGGAGTCCAACGCCTGACCTACAAATCTCACTCAATCATTCTAAATTACCGGCTACAATCAAGATTCTTTAATCCCCAACCAAATCGCACTCTCAGTCCCCACGCATGTACACTCGGTGTGTTCTTGAATCATGCTTCAGGTTCTTTCGATGTCTTTCATCCCACAGTCCGTGAAATGCATTGGTTGTCACGTTGGTCGTTTCGTTTCGTGTCATCCCTTTTGCTCTCCTCTAACAGATCTTCGAGATTTAGCAGAGCAGCCATTGAATGCAGGCGGTACCTGCCGTGTTCAAGAGACAAACGCGCCGAGCCGTGCAAACAGTGCATTATATCAATATACAGTAAATATGCCAATATTCCCTTCGAAATTACATTTGTTGTGGCGACTAAAGCCGCAATTCGTCAGGGTGGCAGGACATGAACTCCTCGAGGACTGTATCTTACGGTTGCAAATGTTCCGTGATTAGAATTCCAAAAGCCCTGTTTTGGAAGAGATGAACCTCTTCATGAAGCGAATTACCATAAATTACATACGTATTGAATTGTATTGATACATGTATATCATGTATAATGTATTATCCTTCTTCATTTGCCACCAGAAACCAAAGACTTGCTTCTATCCCCATTCGGCGTGCCTGTCTGGACGACCTGTTCCGGATGGCATATTCAAATGCCGCGGAGATGACAGCCAAACAGACGAGTCACACTCCCAAGATGATCCAATCAACGTGAATGTTAAGAGCAAGGATATACTTAAATTGAAGATAAGCTTTCTGTGGTGGGTGAGGCTTTGTAAGGCTTTGGCAAACGAGGGAAAAATAAAAATTAAAAGCAATGGCCTGAAGCTGCCAGCTAGATTTGATAGAGTGTCTGAGTGCTTGTGTAGATTTGGTGTGTATATATATATATGTATATATATATATATGTATATATATATGCGCATATGAGTTGTTCCTGTCGAGTGTGCAGGTTTCCATTATATAAAGTTTGTGTGTAGGTGAAACTGTGTCTGAACAATGCCCATTGCCTCCACCGATTGGATGGGTCGGTACATCGACCTTAGCAATAAAAAATGGCAAAAAAAAACAAACGTTTGTCAATCAGTTCGTGTTCAAATTGATAGCAGCTCCCAGCGAATTTTTGCATATTAATCCCAATGGCACGAGCTCTTCCATCAAGTCAACAGTCATGTTCTCCCTTCATTCAAACGGAATGTGCACAAGCCTCAAAAGTATTTGGGTTGGACCCCGATCTTGGAGAACGGACATATTCAGCGGGCAGGTCATCTTGAACTCATTTCTTTTTCAGGAAGAACCCTGACACTGTTCGCCCAGCCACCAAAGGTGCCAGAACAAAGCGGGCACCGCTCATAAGGAGATCCTGCAATCTGCAAGTGCAAAGCATAGCTAGCGTAAGTAAGGGCTACTACCACTGCTCTATTGCAAGACTTTTTGGTATCTGCTCAGCTCACAAAGTTAGCATACCAACACTTTAGACTTTAGACGTCACAAGTTTACGACCTGAGCCACAGGGAGCCCACCAGAAACCACGTGTTTTTCGTCGCAATTAAATCATTGTGGGCATGTGCCTGCAGCCCCAGAACAGATCGAAAGGTTTTTCCTGACCAGCTGACACTGGACCCACTGGACCCACAAGGTCATAAGTCGTCATAAGTCTAGCCTTGGTAGTCATGGCAACATATGGCAACACTGTATCAGCATGCATCAGCTGTATCTCCTTTCGTCATCAAGCTGGGGCAGATGGAAGGCACATCTGCCCAGTTCGTTAACTCGAAAGATTCTTTGCTTTGCAAAGACAATCTTGACAACTTTGCACAACTTTGCACGGTGTGCAAACAGTCATCTGCGATGCATTCTTCTGATGACAGCAAGCTCATGCAAACTCCAGAAACTGCAAAACATAACTTCTGTAGCTAGAGCAAACTTCAAGTCAGTCCTGTACCAAAACGCTCTGCGCTTTGAGCCGACTCTATCATTCTATGTGAAGATCCTTTGTCTCCATGTCTAATGTCATTGGAGCAAACAGCGTCCACTTAACATCCACATACAGTTCAATCGCATGAAAGATATAAAAGCATGAAAGGAAAACTAGTCCGTCATTCTGCTCTATTTCAAAATTGTTTCAAAGCCAAATCAACACAAAACAAGTACTTGAATGACTCAGAGCTCTTTTCTTTGCACAACTCCACAGGCTGGAAATGCCCAGCTGCATCAAAATTTTGAGAAATCTCGCTTTGGTGAGAGATCTTGAGAGTATCACTTCTCAGATTATCAGGCAATTACCTGAATTATTACCCATGTTTTCAGTATGTTTAGTATGTGTTCCATGTTTTCCCACGGGTTCCAAGTTTCGGGATTACAGCTCAAAGCCTGCAGCTCTGATCTCCCGGGATGAGAAGCCGGCCTGCGAACGGAAACCGGACAGGTCCGACAGGTCCGACCGGTCCGACAGATTTTTGAGGGAAATTGGACTCAAGGTACTGGTTTATCTGGTTTGGGTCTTTGAGCCTTTGACCAACAAACTTAGAAGTTGATGACTGCGAGCTATTCCAGTTCAACTGCTGGCAACACGGTCCTCGTCTAGCTCTGTGGCAGAGAAGCCGGCAAGTTTGAGCTCCCAAGAGGAATAGCCAGCTTCTTTCCTTGGAACAGTACCACAGGACTTAAAATCCATGCGCAAACAGAAAGGTCCTTTCGTCACCTGGTGCAATAGGTAAGCTGCTACAGTCACCTTCTGCAATTCGTTCAAGAGCCCACTGCCACTTCGTCTTGGACGGCTTCAGTTGTTTGTATTGCTCAAAAATGTGCAAACATTCAATATGATCTCATAATATCTATATTATTATACTTATGTGAACTTATGTGTATATATATATATACAATTATATACATATAAACTATGTATATGTCATATCTATCATATACATATATATATACTATGTATATGTATGTATATGTATGTATATGTAATGTCTGTCAAAACTCCCTTTTCGTTTGCAGCTCAGGCGTCATCTCATCAGCCGACATTTTGAGCTCCTTTGCTGAGACGCCAGCGTCACGGAGCTCCCGCAGAGAAAAGGACAAGCACAGCTCTGCAGCTTGAAATCCTCCGATCCAACCGGGTATCCAACGGGGTGCACAAATCTGCACATGTTGCACCAGTCAGAGATGATTCTGACACAAAAACTGATCAGAGATCTTCAAAACATTCAATTCTGCATGTGGACCGGCTGTTTTCAGTATGCATTCCGCGCAAGGCCGACCTTTCATGTTGGCTTTGAGACGTCCCTTTCATTGCATTCTTTGATTTGGACGTGCTAGTCAGCTAGTCTCAAACTCTAGGTGTTGCCTTCCCGAGACTCCAGAAAAAAGAAGCCGAAAAGAAAAGCAAATGGTGCACTGCCCATCTCCTGCTTTGCGGAGTTGCAGCACAGTGAACCCAGCATCACTGAGGTCAAGCTGCGATGCACAAGCCAAATCGCTGCAGGAAAAGCCGGCAGTCCTGACCAAGACTGCGAAACCCAAGAGGGAATTGTAGTGTGATATGATCTCTTTTTTGCCAGAGCTGTTTTAGTTCGCGACTTACGGCTGTCGGCCCTACCCTACTGTTCGAAGGATTGTGGAAAAGCAAAACCAGGCGAAAAGAATCAGTCTACGCTAAGGTGAAAATAAAAACAGGCAATCTGTACAAGACTCGATTAAACAGGAGTTTATGTACATGTATCGTTCTGCAAAGGAGTGTGGCAAATAGTTATTTGATTCCGTGCCTGGCGCATCACGCACAGACGTTTCACACAGAGTTCGTTCACACAGAGTAGTGTTCAAAAAGAGTTCGATCACACCAAAATTTGTGATCAGTTGAAAGGGGGTTTATAAGCCCTTGCTGCATCGATGGAGATTTGGTACTCCATCATCATTAGCCTTCAGGATGTTCCAAGCCAGTTTCATGTTTTCAATGGTCCAATTTTTTCTGGGTCTGCCGACTCTTCGATTGCATGGGGTTTTTGGTAAAGCTAAATAGGAAGCAAAGGTGACTTGGTGTTGAGGGTGTGACCGGGGTCTTCTCAGCACATGCCCAAGTAGTTTGAGACGTTTCGTTTCCAACATTTCAGTCAAAGCTCTGATTTTGCGGAGAGGTCCCTGAGAAGGAGCACCAACTACTTCATTTGCTTGTTGTCATATGATATTACCAATACTTATTTCAAAATGCCAAAAACATGCAACATCATGCGACTATTGTTTTGAGCTTCCGCCCCCACATTCCGATCTAAAGCTGCTTATAAAGTCCCGCACGAGCGCGTCTAACTGTCAAAGCAGCACTCCTGAGATCTTGAAGGGCAAAGCCGCCTTTGAGCAGATCCTCAGCCAAGTACCCGAAATCTCGGAGAGCCTTGGCAGAGCTGCCCAAGCCCGAAAGGTCCTTAGTCACAACTCAGATCAGAAAAAAAAATGAATTCCACTTGGCCGCTTGAACAAATTTGGAAAGGATTCATCTTGGACGGTTCATAAAGCGGAAACCATATGCTGCACATTGCTGCACCGTGGTGTGCTTTCGTGTGCCACGTTCCTGGAAACTGTGCAGCCTGGGCTCAGCAAATTGGAATCCCGCATCCCTCAGCGCTGCTTCAGAGTAGCCAGCATGATACAACTCACGCAGTTGGAAGCCACAGTTTCGCAAACCCCATGCAGAGAATCCAGCATCTCTGAAGTCCTTCACTGATTCCGTGGCGTCTCTGAAATTTGAAAAAGGGTAGAAAATTGACTGGGGTGTTGTTATTGTTTGGGTGTTTTTCTTGGATTTCTGGCTGCGTTGTCGTTGTCGTTGTCGTTGTGGTTGTTGTTGTTGGTGTTGTTGTTGTTGTTGTTGCTGTTGCTGTTGCTGTAGTTGTAGTTGTAATTGCAGCATTATTATAATAGGTGATATTTGAAGCATTGTGGAACCTTAACTTTTTAACCGGTTCGTTTACATCTCATTTGACCTTTCTGGGCTCCACAATCTTTACGCCAAAGCAAAGAAACACAAAAAAAAACGAACACAAAGCAACAGCATGGAAACAGCTGCAGGGGTGCATGGGGGGGTGCGCTGCGTCACCCCAAGCAATGCAGAGACAACTTCGTTCCAGTTTTGATGCTTCTTTGCGGTTGTGGTTGTTCTTGTTACTCTTGTTGCTCTTGTCGCTTTTGTTGTTCGTCTTGTTCTTGTTCTTCTTGTTCGCTGTGCTTGTTGTTCTTGCTGTTCTTGTTGTCCTTGTTGTAGTTGTAGTTGTACTTGTACTTGTAAGAAAGCAGAAGAACAGGGAAGAAAGCAGAAAAGCAAAAAAAAATGAGAAAGCCAAAAATAAACAAAATAAAATGGACACGAAAAAAACAAACAGGCAACAACGCAGAAAAGCAGAAAACCCCTTCAAAATGAAGAAGCAAGGCAGAAAAGCACAAAAAAAAAAGCGAAGAAGCAGAGAAGCAAAAAGGCAGAGAAGCAGAAAAGCAGAAAAACTGTAAAGTAGTGGAGAGGGAAAAGAAACTTAACTAAAAAATATAAATCCCTCAATAAATGGGTCCCCTGTGAAAGATATGAAGCCCGCTGACATCTGAAGACACGGAATACACACGTAGTATTTCAATGCATTTCAACTATTTCTTGAAAATTCTCCCAGCAAAATTTCCATCCCAGTCCTTGATGCAAAAACCGGCCTCTTTCAATAAGCGCATGGAAAAACCTGCTTTGCTCATGGACCACGCTGTGAAGCCTGCAGTCCTGTGCAAAAGTTGCAAGGTGCTAAAATAATGTCTTTGAGCTGAAGCTAACGCAAGACCAGTGCATTCAAAATCATTCAAATGCAATCAATAATCTCTCGCATCTCCAGAACTCTTGAAATTCTCTGGCACTGTCGTAGTAGCACAGCTTTTCATGGCTTTTGATGCCGCATCTCTCTCTCTCTCTCTGTCTCTTTCCCAGCCCCATGCACCAGTCCAATCTTTCGAGTGTCCTCAGCTCTCTGGCACTGACGCCAATACTCTTCAGCATCTCTAGGCCAAACGGCCGCAGCTCTGCCACTGCCACACCTGCTCGGCGGAGCTCAGCCGCGCTGCGCCCAGCAGCACGCAGCTCCTGTGAATTTCGAAGGCGAGAGACGGGTGTGGAAACGTGCAGCCACGTGGTCATATGCTGCTTGAGCACTCGACTTGTAGGGATGGAAAGGACAAAAGAATCTGGTCTGATGTAGTTTACATGGTTGGTACTACTTCTGTAAGCACTCTGACATGGCCGAATCTGGGGAGCAAGAAAGAAAAAACGCCAAGCTCAGCAAGCATAGTCCTTGACCGTGAAGCCAGCATTTCGGAAGTCTTCCAGGGTGAGTCCGAACTTCCCAAGACTCTTGGCATCAAAGCCTGCTTTTCTGAGCTCATAGAGCGTAAAGCCCAACTTCCAAAGCTCTCGCAATGCCACTCCAGCACGTTGCAATGCATCTGCGGAAAAGCCCGCATCCTTCAGCTCCTGAAGAGTCCACCAAGATCGAGAAAAAGACCAAAGGTTGCGTTATACATACTGTAATATGACTGTAATATGTGTGTATATAAAGCATATCCGCCGACCCCGTGCCGACAGCAAGGGGGAGCGTCGTCAGAGAAGACATTACAAGCAGCAATGGGAGAAACAGAAGGAAGAAGCAAGCAGACGCGATAAGAAGGCAAGGTGCAAAACAAAGCAAGGAAAGATAAGAAAAAGAAAGGCGCGCTGCAAGAGTAAGAAGCTAGCCAGAAGAAGCAAGCAGCAAGAGCAAGAACAAGAAGCAAGAGGTAAGAGAGAAAAGAAAGCAAGAGATGGAAGAAGAACGCATGTTGTAAAAAAGAATAAAACAATAAAACAAGGGCACAATAGTGTAATATATCATATAATATCATTATATATATATAATTACATAGGAATACAAATGCATACACCTTATATAATGGTACCTAAATGCTACTTCTAGTTTTGAAACAACCTAGATCAACTTGAAGACTGCTTTGACAAAGTCAAACACCTAGGTTTGAGCCCTGCAGCTCTGCAGCCCTGCAGCCCCGCTGTTCCGCTCCTTGGCACTCAAGCCCGCCTGTCTCAAGCGTTTGGCCGAAATCTGGGCCGTCCGAAGCTCGCCCGCAGTGAAGCCAAGATCCAACAGCTGCGGTAGAGGAACACAGAGAACATCCACGAAGATCTGCACCGCAAAGCCACAGCTCCTGCACTGCAGATCTAGGAATCCAGGAAGGAAAGACGATTCACCATTTGGTCATGATCAAGTCATGGCTCTTTCCTTCTTCAAATGGAAAGCAGTAGGTTGATGAATTGGGTCGTATGGGCTGTATGGGTCAAGTCCATGGATAGTATAAATCTTGCTCTGAACTTGAACACCAGAGATGACCCAGGGTTGCTTGATGTTGCTTGTCTTCAGGACACCCTTTCATAGAAGCGTTGCTTTGGCCATCCACGCTTGAAATGTGACATCTCCAAAATCGAGGATGCAGAATGATACAGAATCTTTGTTGTTTGGCCTCATTTGACCAATGGCCTCACTTCGACACAAGGCCCGACATAGGTCCGTCAAAAGGCTATGATGAATGAATACATGTAGTGGTCTCAAGCAAGCATTGGCCTAGACATGCTGCGATCATGATGCGTTTTGGATTCTTTCCTCACTGCAGGACCAAAGCCTGTGCACATCGATCATTGTGTCTAGAATTGGAAATCGCACCACCGGTCACCACCAGTTAAAGGATGTTAAGGGGGGTTCAGGAAATGGCCTTGCTCCGTTCGATTGAGTCGGTTGAGTTCAAGCAATGTGATCCGTGTCAAGTTCGCAAAGATTGCTGGGGGTTTATTTGTGCATGTCATCAATGTCATCACTGTGCAAGTGGCCATGCTATGCGATGCCGATGCTATGCTGATGTTCTGTGTACTGTTCCATTTTTTCTCGGATGACCCATGATCAGTGCTGCCTAAAAGCTAAGTGTTCTTCCTGCTGGTCAAATAAGCCAGGTGCGCTTATCATTGTTTTCTGTCTTCAAAAACTCGTATGACATGGGCTGTTTGCAAAATTCAAACCTGTGCCAAAACTAGAAACAGATTGATTGTTCAGATAAAAGATGATGAAAACGTGATGAAAGTACAAGGTTACACAAGTAACGGTTCATTGAAGAGATCCAACCATGTCGCTCCTGAGGTCTTGCAACGAAAAGCCTGCTTTCCTCAACCCAATGGCACTAACACCTGCGTCTCGCAGCTGTCCAGTGGTGAAGCCCACATTGATCAGTGCCTGCGGCGGAAATACAGGCACAGAATTATACAGAATTGAATTTTGCCAAGTTAAATCGCAGCATACCGAGCAATACCGAACCAGAACAAACATCAGCTTGGCTAATAGGTTGGAACTCTGGATATCGACTCTCCACAATTTGAACTCCTTTCTATCGTTACTCGAAGTCCTTCATTCTTGATGAACTAATTGAGACAAGACTGACCCCTGAGTTTTGGATTCTCCAAATGCCAAACGCAGGGCCTTGATAGAGAAGCCACCCTCCAAAAGCTGCTCGGCCGAATACCCACAATCTTTGAGCTCCCCGAGAGAGAAACCGGCTTCCCTCAAGTCCTAGACTCAGCAGCGAGATCTCAGACTCCAGAGACACAAGACTTAGACTTGTTTAATTCACTGGTCGCCGTATCGCTTACATTTTGTTGAGTCTTTGTTTGCAGTCTCCTTCATCTGATCCAACACCATCTAAAATTAAATCTTGCAACAGACTGCTGTCCTGCGCAGACACTCCGGCTCGATACAGCTCGCTGGCGGATTGCCCAGCAAGAGCTGAGGGCCCATGAAGCTGACGCAACGCAATAAGTTGCCTTTCCCGTTTGCTATGCCAAAGATGCCAAAGCAAACAAGTCTCAACATCCTCATTTGCAACTTATATGTTTCAGGGCATGTTCACACACAAGCGTCTTGCCCTTTCTACTCTGGGAACACACACATACACACGCACACACATACACACCACATTTTGCCGTAGATGATATGTATACTGTTTACTTTTACGTGTCTACTCATGTGCATATGTAAATATCATACTTGAAGGAGGACATGAAACCACATTGGCTATGCCCTGCCTCAGGTCAAGCACTGGAGCTTCCACCACCTTCTCAGGCAAGTTCTGCCAAATGTCGATCGCAGACAACCGTCTGGAAAAATCCTGCACGCTCCGCCTGACAAAAGGCAGCGGAACATAAATCAAATCATTTGACCATGCTCTCAGCCATCCTTACCCTTTTTCACCTTTTGCTTTCCTTATGAGGTCGCAAGAATCAACGCCACGACTTTCTCAACATTTCTCAACATTTCTCAACATTTCTCAACATACTAGCCGGATCTTTTTCCTTGTATTTCCGTGCCTTGGCTCCTTTGCAGTCTGATCAATCTCCAGGTCGTTTCGGCTCGATCCAGTGAAGGTTGCACGAGTTTTATGCAGTGGCAGCTGCAGAAGGCTTTTCCGGATATCTCTAGTCGTCCATGCGGTCCATGCACCTTCAAAAACCATCACATAAGAATGCCCTGGGACTCAGCAGGGCCCGGCATCCCAAGACTGACTCCAAAGCCTAAAAGGCTGCGTAATGCAAGTTATCTTTAAATTACCTCTGCAGTTTCAGTGATTCTCTACGAATCGTTTCTCTAATCGAAGCCCAGCTGAACAATAATAAGCGCTTGACTCATTGCGCCGTCGAAACAATAGGCAATCACGTGATATCACGTGAATGTACAAAGCTTCAGCCCTGGACACAAAAATGAGCAAAACATATCAGTGCACATCGGTAGACCATGGTAGACCTATGCCACCATAGCAGCCATAGACTGCCATAGACTTGCTTCAAACCTATGACCTGACCCCCTGCACCCCACCGGCACCCCACCGGCACTAGTACTGCCCGCCTCGTAGAGCTGCCGATGTCCGGGTTCAATCACCGCGAACTGCACATGGGCCCTCAGTGAGGCAGGGCCGATCCAAGGCCTCATCGAGAGTGGCTATTCAGGGTGTACTTTGCTGGTACATTATTTTGTATCATTTTGATACATACCTTGATTTATTCGAAGTTGAATCGGACCACTTCATTCTTGACTGACGCCGGACCTTAGTCAAGATCAAGCCCAAGGTGCAGGAGGGCTAGGCTACAATGGGAGAACAAGGGAAACAATATGGAAAGCAACTGAACCATAGAGACCATGATGATCAATGATCATGGATCAATGATCGTGCATCAATGATGGCCAATGATCAACAATGATGTTTTTGAACAGGACTTCTGAGGCTGGAAGCACATCCTGGGGCAGGCACCCGGGCCAAAGAACCGAGGGCGATGGGAAGACTGGCAAAGCTCCTTTGTCACCATGTCTATGGATTTAAGTTTTGGTTGGCTACAGGCTGTTGACAGGCGCATCCAACACACTTGTCAAAGCAATTTTTGAATTCTCGGTCTCATTTGTATGCTAGGCGTTTCTATCTTACTAACAGCATGTGTATGTATGTAATGTAATGTAATGTAATGTAATGTAATGTATGGCATGGCATGGTATGCAATGTATGCAATGTATGCAATGTATGCAATGTTATGCAATGTTGTGCAATGTTATTCAATGTTGTGCAATGTTATCTATGTATCTATCTATCTATCTATCTATCCATCTATCCATCTATCCATCTATCCATCTATCCATCTATCCATCTATCCATCTATCCATCTATCCATCTATGTATGTATGCATGCATGTAACTATGTAACTATGTATCTATGTATGTATCTATGTAAGTATGTATCTATGTATGTATCTATGTACGCATCTATGTATGTATCTATGTATGTATCTATGTATCTATGTATCTATGCATGTATCTATCTATGTATTTATGTATCTATGTATCTATGTATCTATGTATGTATCTATGTATGTATCCCTCTATCTATCTATGTATGTATGTCTGTCTGTATGTATATGTATATGTATATGTATATGTATATGTATATGTATATGTATATGTATATTTATATGTATATGTATATGTATATATATATATGTCTATGTATATGTATATGTATATGTGTGTATGTGTGTGTATGTGTGTGTATGTGTGTGTATGTGCGTGTATGTGCGTGTATGTGCGTGTATGTGCGTGTATGTGCGTGTATGTGCGTGTATGTGCGTGTATGTGCGTGTATGTGCGTGTATGTATGTGTGTATGTGTGTATGTGTGTATGTATGTATGTATGTATGTATGTATGTATGTATGTATGTCTGTATGTCTGTATGTCTGTATGTCTGTATGTCTGTATGTCTGTATGTCTGTATGTCTGTATGTCTGTATGTCTGTATGTCTGTATGTCTGTGTGTGTATGTATGTGTGTGTGTGTCTGTATGTATGTATGTATGTATGTATGTATGTATGTCTGTGTGTGTGTCTGTATGTATGTATGTATGTATGTATGTATGTGTGTATGTGTATATATATATATATATATGTATATATATACATGTATATATATATATACATGTATATATATATATACATGTGTATATGTGTATATATGTAATATGTGTATGCGTATGTGTATGTGTATGCATGTGCTGGCCAATTTGAGATGAACCTAACCTTTTCCACCTTCCAGACTGCCTTTGTAACATGTCCTGGGCTCAGCTCTGAGAAACCCGACGCCGACTCGGCTCCAGCTCAGGGCCTTTGGTGACCTGTCAAGATCGTCCAAGGTCGTCGGAATCGTCAACTATATAAGTCGACTGCAAAACTGCGGCAATCACTTGCCTCAAACCATGCACGACGAGGAATTCGACTCTGTTTCTTGTACCAAGCTCCGTAGAAAGCCAGCGTCCTTAGGAAAATGGAGAAGTCTGAAGGGTTTCCTTGGGGAAAATAGTTGGAAGGCTTACTGAACTCAAGTTCTGGCATCCTGCAATCTACCCTTTGATGTGTTCTGAGTGCCTGCATGACTCTGCGAAATGATCTTGCAAGCCAATTTAGAGACATTTCATTACTATGTTTGTCGGACGATAGGAAAGGCTCTGTCTGGGAGATTGCTGGAGGGAAGGCTACTAAAGCTCGTAGATGCAGGGGAATAATTTCAGCCCAAATCAGATCTTCTTGCGACCTGATCACTTCAAGCTGAAGCAGAAGACCTTAGAGGTCCATGCAGTGTTGCAAGCTTGTTATTGCACCCCGCATTTGATGGCTGGATGACACAACATCATTGAACACAATAAACAAATTCATACAAATTCGAAAACATACCACAAACTGCCACGGTGTGGTACGAGTGAATCGAAGTATAACTTGACCAGGGCCTCAACTGCTCGAACTGCTCTAAACTGCTCTAGCTGCAGTTCTGTGCCTGCCAAGTCGCAAGAGCTGACACGGACCACTTCATCAGAGGACGTGGTGCCATGAGGCCGAAGGACCAAAGCAGCAAAAAAGGAGATTGACGATACTGATGACTTTTTTTGTCAGCGCATTTCGGCTTCTTTGACGCAAGATGGATACTGTATTGACACTGCAGAGATTGCTCCAATCTTTGGGTCAAATGTCTAGAGTCTGTCTGGGCATTGCGACATGTGGGACATCAGCGGTTTGAGCTCAAATGCTTGTGGTGCATTGTGTCACAACCCGCTGAAATCAATTCAAAGACAGAAGTGACATCCTTGTAAACTGCCTCAGATTAACTCACACCAAGCAAATTCTGACGAACCATGGTATGCGATGGCATCACGTTAAGTCTGGGTTTCCCAGGCAAAGGGCTTCCACCAAGCTGTCTAGGCCCATTGCGACATTCTCGCCTCAAGAAAGAAGAGAATTAGGATGAATAATGTGCAACAGTGCTAGTATGTGCAAGCGTGTGCAAGTGTGTGTGTGTGTGCGCGAGTGTGTAGGTGCGTTGAAAGAGCAGCAGGGCCAGCAGGACAGCAGAACAGGTTTGCAGCTGCGACATTCATCTGTCCGATGTCTTTTTCAACTCAAGTTGCAGCTGGAATACTCAGTACTCCATTTCTTGCCATGTGCCATAGTGTTTTTCCGTCTTCTCTATTCTCTCTGGGCCTTGTTGGGCATCATCAGAATCTGGTAGACCCAGCGGATTGTAGAGCAGCTGCACATACATGTCAAACTGTTTGTCCTGGAATCAGAACAAAACATCTGGGATGTATGAAAGTACACCTATTGCCAAAGCAATACAGCTGTTGCCAGATTAGACATGTGATTGATTAGAAAAAATCTCAACTGCTGGTAGTATTTTGTGCTCTCAGTGTCCAATGCGCAGGGAGCCATTTCTAGGCAGAGGCTTCCCAGCTACAGAATCAAGGAAAGTTCGGAACGGTATTTGCAAAGCTGTCATCCCTGGTTGGCAACGAAATACTACGATCCCATCAGCAAAGCAATGCTCCCACAATGCTCCTTGATTCCGAGGTCAAGCAACGCTGCCATGACATCCGAATCATATTTCCTGGCATTGCAAGCCTAAAAGGTACTGTATGGCACCCTACACCCTCCGGCAACAACAGCGAGGTTCAGGTATAACTCCGGGAGCGTGGAAACAGTAGTACCATTCTGTAGCCAGCAAAAATGAATGAGCTCGAATCATACTACATTGAGGCCCCTAAAACTATTGTGCTGTACTAAAACTTTCCTGCAGGATCCTGCAGGCGCGACAATTCATTGGACAAGGGTAGTGCCAGGCTAGCTGCTAAGCCTTAGTTGTACCAAGGCCATTTCAATTGCCCTTTGCATATCTGCAACGAGGGTGGCACCACCAGTGATGACAGTGATGACAGTGACGATATGATGATGATGATGATGATGATGATGGTGATGGTGATGGTGATGGTGATGATGATGATGATGAGGAGGAGGAGGATCATGATTATTATCGTTATCATAACAATACTACAAATAACAAGCAGAAGCAAGGGGAAGGGAAAAAAAGAAGCAGCAGCAGAAGCAGGGGAAGGATGAGGAGGGAGGAGGAACAACTATGAAAGAAGGAAAAGAAGAAGAAAAGAGAAGGTGAAAGTACCGCCACCAGGGCGACCATGACAATGACTACGTCTACGTTTACTTGCGCTGCTGACCACCAATGAAACACTAACAACAGTAAAGCGCAATGCGCCAGCTTCACATGTTCGCGAACTCATCTTTCGTAATCAAACCACTTCCGTCCTGGCACTGTCAATTCCCATGCATAACTCGAAGCACGGAGATCGGGAAGGATCAAAAATTCACGGCCAGTCACGGCTAGTCACGGCTAGTCACAGCTAGTCCACTCAACCTGTGTCTGTTGGCCAAAGCATTCCATCGACTGCGGCAAGTCACCGAATCCATGGAGGTGAAAATGGTCATGATGGCTTCGGTTGCCTGTCAGTCAGTCACCAGGCAATGGACCGATCTCTTGAAAATATGTATACATATATACATATATATATACATATATATATATACATATATACATATATATATACATATATATATACATATTATTGTTGTTATTATCATTATTCATGTCTATATATATATGTATATATATAGATGTATATACTAATTATCATGTGTATATTCATGTGTATATATATATATATACACATATTTTAATAGTCTTACTAAAACTTCACTAATTGTGTTTTGGTATTGTACCTAAATCATTTGCTTTCTTGGAACTCAAGCTCGGCACCTGTTCCTTGGAAGCACGGTGGCTTTCGGCCTCCGAAGTGCTGCCAACCACCTGACATCACAAATCGCAAACGAATTTGCAGATTGAAAATGACAAGGACATGAGAAAGGGAAGGGAATGGGCAGAAAGCCGAAATGAGAGAAGTAAAAAGGAACGACAATGAGTTGATTCGTGTTTGCTTGCTCCACTGATCGTAGTCGTACAAAGGGCATGCGGATCAGTGTGGTTCTGTGTTCCGGGCATCCTGTTGATCTCTCAGAGCAGGGTACAAGTACGGTACAAGCGCATAAAGCCCAGGACTTTTTTCCCTTGCAGCAAGGCCAGAAGCATCTCTCCCGCCAAGATCGTCAAGCAAGGATCACTGGAAAATCCGCTACATACAGGCATATATACATAAAATATACATAACATTACTTTTAATGACATTACTTGACATTGGATGTTACTTCATCGTACATTGCTTTACATAACATTACTTTGCATTGCATACCAGACCATGCAAAACCATACCAGACCATATGCAAGTAATATGTATGTACGTACGTACGTATGTACGTACGTACGTAGGTAGGTAGGTAGGTATGTATACGGTATACCATCGGACGCTGTCATAACCACTGTCATATGTGCTTATTTTTTTTCTGGTTTCAAGATGTTTCAAGATATGGCACATGCTTAAGCCATCTTAAGCCTCCATCATCCTCCATCCTCCATCCTTGCTTCAATTTCTTGCGGGTCACTTGCTTCAGACACTCGAGGCCAAGGCTCGGCGAAGGGCGCCCACGATCTGATGTAACTGAGCACCGCTCCACCCGTAGCTGGCTGGAAACCTCTGGAAATATGTACAGGTCAGCCAGGTTCATGAGATTTCATGAGCATCATTGAAATCATCGAGCATCTATCTACAGTCTATTTTTGAATCACGGAATGAAGGCTGAATGAAGGAACAAACGTCCCCAATCCGCTTTGAGTTTGGCAGAGAGGCTGAGCACTTCTGAGCACTACAGCTTCTCACTACAAAAAGTTGCACAAGCCAGGAGAGTCAGCGAAAAAAGTCAGCAAAGGAAGTCAGCATCCTAGTCGTGTCAGACATGTCGGTCTTCCTCTTCGCTGTCACCTTGGAACGGAGTCTGTCGAGTTCTGCTGGTGCTAAGAACTGATTCCACGTCCATGCTGACGGATCCCCTCTTGCAGGCAATTAAGTCTGACACAGTCTGGCTTGAATCCTGCAATTTGCACAAACTCTGGGTTCAACTCAATGCGTACAATCTGTTGAATTTAGTAAAAGATATTTTGAACCTTGCAGGTTTCCGAGAGACTAAGAATATACATCAATTATACATTGTACATATAACAATACGTAGTGTATGAGTGTATGTATATATATATACATCTTTATCTACGTGTTTATATTACATGTGTATATATAATATACATGTGTATGTATACGAGTATATTATATTATACATATATATATATGTATATATGTATAGATATATATATATGTGTGTGTATGTATGTATATATATATATACATATCATATATGTGTATATATATATATACATGTGTATATACATGTGTATATACATGTGTATATACATGTGTATATACATGTATGTGTGTGTGCTGTACAGCTGCTGGGAAATAAATCGATTTGTTCAGACTGCTTGCAAAAAGAAACGTGAAGGGTTTCAACCGTCGTGGGTCTTCTCTTGGCCTTCTCAAAAGAAGTGCTCTGCATCTCCACAAAAGGAAACCGCGCATCCTGGATATTCAAAGCTTCGGCGTGGACACCAGCCCCGACCACGAAAGTTCTCTTTGCCCTTCGGGTAGTCCTCACATCCACATAGATTCACACTTGAGTCTGGCTGAGTCTTCCAGTCTTCGCAAGTCTTCCACTCTGCGGTTCTGATGGCAAATAAATTCTTCCAACTCACGAAAGAAATTTAATTCTGCTCCTTGAAGTTGCCAAAGTCTCGGTCGTGAGTGTAGCTCACGCACACAGGGTCTGGAGGCCCTACAAAATTGAGAGCCACTGGAAAGCGTGACTTGCTTTGAACATGACTCAAGAAATGACTCAAAGGAGGCTCGGCCGGAAGAGCTGAAAAGTTGAAGGAATCTATCAGCTCCAGTCTGATGCAGTAGACATACTTGAACACTTCTGTAGAACCTTCAATTCAAGTTGGCAGCAAGCATCGAAAAGGCCTGTCTCCGCATTGTACGGAGGGCTCTCAGACTCATCACCTTGGAAAGGCCAATAGCTTCAATTTGTTTGGCTCTGGGGGAACCCAGGGTCAAAGTCAACATCGCGTATCTCGATCTGTTCAACCATATGGCTTTGTGGATGTAATTATATACTGGATCTCCTTCAGTTCAAACAAGTGCTTTTCCAGAGTGTGTTGGCACCTGAAGCAAAAGTTCAGTACTGAACAATCCGAGCCACTCGATCTGTACCTCACGCCAACAAATTTGGAGGATCTGACTCTGTCCACAACAGCTTTCATGGGAATCAGCGTGACATGTTGATTCCACGAGTCTAAACTTGGGCGGCTGTTGCATGCGCTGCGGACCATACATTGGCGCTGGGGTCTGTGGCAAAAAAGGCTGTGCACTAAATGTAGCAGAGCTGCGTGCTGGAGTGATTCCATAGAATTAGATTCAAACGTTCGCCAGACCTTAGTTGTCTTCATTCGTGGTCATTGCAGCCGCCTCACCACATGAGAGACGCTACATTCCACATATTTTTTCTCTGACAGGTTCATCGCAGGCAATCGAAGGATGAATAAGACTGAGGACTGCTATACCGAAAAAATGTGCGATGTTTGGCAGATTCTATCAGTTTCTTATGCATTGGCATAATGTATCACGATGTTGGCTAATTTGAACGCGTCGTTGGCATTTCCCAAGTTGGATCACCTCAATCTCAACCAATTTTTCAATCTTGGGCTGTGTCAGGTGCCCCAGTTTCCTCCATCACACCAAGACAATGGGACCATCTAGAATCTAGGCCAGTACCACTCCTGCATGGTCCTGTTTGGCCTGGCCACGTGATGTCGTCTGCTCCGTGACGGCGACGTCCCAAGTGCACAACGCAATGGCCCTCAAAGTTTCGGGGCTATAAGGGCTCAAGAGTGGAGCATAACCACGCGACTATCAGCACAATGCAGATTCGACTGCACTCTGTTCGCATATCAATCAAGGTTCAGAATCTTTTACCTGCCTTCTTGTGGAAATAAGAGTGGCGGTGCTTTCGATGATCACCAGCACCAGTCATCCCACAGAATTGAAGACCGGCACCAGTGAACTCTAAGCCCAAGCAGAGATTTAGAGTCACATCCTCGCGTCCATAGAAACTCCAGTCCAAACAGGAAAAGCTCAAAAGAAAAAATAAAAGCTCCGCTCAAAAGCCCTGTTGTCTTGCCATTCTTGCCATTCTGACTTGTAGCCTGCAGACAAAGCTAGAATTCTTACGTAACAGTTATCCATCCCGACAAAGATATATGGAGCCCATTGGAGCCCCACATACTCAAAGAAAGCTTCACACTTGTCCACCTTCCCTGCCCCGTCCGAATCATCTGTGTGCATATCCAAACCAAGGTCTTCGCCAGAGCGGTATCGCACCTAGTGCCAGAGTTGGCGACGTTGGCGATTCAAAGATGTTCAAAGATTAAAACCACGGCTACCACCAGCACCGGCTGCAGCATTGTGGGTTCCAAATCACAGGGCCTCGCTATGCTAATGCAATACCCGCTGAATCTGCAGATCCTTTTGGCTTTTGCTTTGTGAGGCAAGCGTGCTCGCAAAAAATCTGCAGTCAAGTGACAATAAAGCAATGATGGCCATCCTTAAGGACGTCCAACAACGTCCAGCCATGTCATGTTTGACTCATATTTGTCACAAGTGAACAGAACACGATCGAACAGCCACAAAAACATGACAAGTCGAACCATTGAGATCTCGCGTGCCATGTGCCATGCGGTGCTTCTCTTCAGCTTGGAGACCCAGCAGCTCCCAGGACCTGGAAAAAGTAAATCACCCAACGGCTGCAGCATTCGCCTGAGACTGCCAGACGCTGTGAGGCCACTTTTGGCAAACTTTTCAAAGCAAACTTTTTCAAAGCTTTGGTTCCATGAAATGGTTCCATGAACTATCCCCGGAGAACCTAACGTTCGCCCAACATGACATAATCTATCACTTTTTGCCACATTTTTCACATCTCTCTCATCAACTTCAACACAGGGTACAAATAACATAACAGCATGGTATAAATCAGCCACCCCCCTCAAACAATATGTAGAAGGGATTAGAAGGGCATAATACTGGATTTGGGATTTGGTTTGCAAAATGACATAAATACAAAGTCTAAATCTGCCACCCCCTAAAGACAACACGTAGGAGGGTATAATAATGGATATACTACACTCTGTAAGACGCCGTTTCTGGTTTCCCACTGACTCTCGGCAACAACCCTTCGCAGACTTCGTCGGGGTCCGTTGAAAAAGAGAGTCATTTTGTGCGCCAGGCGTGGGCTCCGGGCAAATGTCCGGTTCTGTGCGCAACTATCATCTTCACCTCTTATGTTCCATCATGCTTAACATCAGTTGATGTGTTCAACATAATGTTCCATCTCACCTCCTCCGCAGCTTAACAGCATGCAAACGTGCTGCTGCAGTTCGTCAATGAAGGGTTCCATGCCAATGTCATTGAGGACAATACCATAGGCATTCATGCCTTGGATGGCATTCGCATTCGCAAACCAGGCATACCAAAGCCTTGGCAGAGCCCAAAGATGCTTCGTTTCAACTTGCTGCCTTGCGGCTGTTCGGGCGTTTGGCTGGCAAGCCACCTGAGAGTCAAGGTGAAGTAAAGCTCTAAGCCCTAAGCATCAGTTCCTCTGTCTAGAGCAAAAAATAGAGTAATGATTTTGTTTCTTCAGTGAGCATGAAATCAGTTCACTTTAACCAGAAACAGCGCAAAACGTCATGCGAAATGTCGCCGCGCTGCTCTTGTAGAAATTAAAGACCTCCTCAAGAAACATGTCACAGAATGCCTGAAGGCGCAACAGAAAGTGTGCGAGTCGCTGCACGAGATGAAAGACATTTTAAGAGCAATTTTGTTGCGCTTGTGTAAAGATTTTGTAAGTGGTATTGACTGGTAGAAGAAACCGTACTGTTCCACTCTTCGACCTTGTTCTCGATTTTTGCTAGACTCCGACAAACCGCAAAGGCCTCTGTCACCAGCTTGAATGAGTACCTGGGTGGAAAACAAATGCAATCTTTCTCAACATGCCAGAAATTATTGTGAGGTAGTTCGTTTCACCATCCAAACTAAGACTGCACTACGTAGGGATAAGTTCATCGGCGATGTCTTTCCATCATCACTACTGTGCGAAATGTTCCATTTGAAATGATTGAAAATTCATCAAAATAGTCGAATAGCTATTGAAAAATGGAGCCGGAAGAAGACCAGTGAAGAACAATGGTTCTGCTAGCACTGCACTTTCGACATGTCATGCCCACCACGATCCATTGTAATTCCGAGTGTCACTCCATCCATTTCCTCGTGGAGGATCTCCCTCCAGGCGCTTGGTGTGTTGTTTTTCATTGCCTTTCAAAGATTCCACTTCTGCACACCAGGCATTGGCATCACTTTGGCGTTCATGGTACCAATCAAGCCACTTTTTTGCTACACCAAAATAATCACCAAAATGACGCATCAGACTTATCTAAATGTTTTGTGAAGGTTTGCGAGATGCAGCTGGTGCAAACACTTTCCGAGACAATGATTTGTCAGAAAGAGCAAGAAAATAATGAATCAATCAACATATTTATGGAAACTTGGTTTGCCTTGCAAAAGGCTGGATCCAACCACTCTTCCTTCACTTTTCCCTCGAAAAGATCTGGATGCACCACTCGAGATCTGTACCTGAGCTCTTGGGCGCTTTCTGAAACACAGTCCCCATTCTGATGATAACTGTGCATATATGATAAATATTTATATTATATATATATGCTGTACATCACTGTACAGTACTGTACATTACTGTACTAAGTATTACTGTAGTATTACCCGAATGTTTTGGATAATTTTGGATAAGTACACCATCCGGTCACCGCCGGTCACCTTCCTATCAAGTCGCTTGCGGATGATCTCCAGCCGCTCTGCATTGATCTTCCGGTGGACCTCCAAAGCCTCAGAACTCGCAGAGCGAGTTGCGATAGTTGCGAGTCACTGTCCATGCCTGATGCAGGCCTGATGTAGTCGTCGCGATGCAACGGAAATCAACGGCATAGAATAGCAAAAAAATGCCAAAAAATAGCAAAAATATCATGAATATCCTGTTCCGGTGTCTTCATAGCAGCCTTGGCACACGCTGGAATTTCTCCGGCAAGCGCTCCTGGGCGAGAAGTCTTTGAAACAATTGGCTGAGGACAACTTCACAATCTGGGAAGGAGGTTACATGGCCGCAACTTGGAACCTGCAAAGATCAAACCAATTTCTACATCCGGCAACCTACTGAAAAGCGTGTCCTTTGCATATTTGCACTCCTCCCTGATCTAAGCAAAGCTTCGGCGGGGAGCTTCCACGAAGTGAAAGGGTCCTCCAAAAAGCATCTGATGGCCTCACAGAACATGACGCGTCGAGACTCACGAGGTCTCAAAAATTTGGGCGTAGGGAAAGTCTGTGGGGCCCCTTTCACAGCCAGTGGGAAAGCGAGAAACAAGGCCTTGCTTTCATTGCAAGCGGATTTTCAAAAGCAAGGCCAAGGGCCTATCTTTGTGCGGTTGGCTTGAAAATGCTTCAAACATGAGCGGGTTTGATTGGTCAGTTGCAATGGTCACCAAGTGTCCTGTCGAAAACCTCTAGCTTCGTCGAAATGGCAAAAGAAAACATTGTATAGGCCAAATACCACTTCTGGAACCCCCCCAAAGTAGCCAAATCAAAACATAATGATATTTTTGCGCAAGTCCTTCTTGCCTAGAAGTTTATGTGGAGGTAGAATTTCCCTGGTGCCTGAGCAATTTAGGCCACGACCTGAAGAGTCAAACGCAAAGTGCAAGCATCTTGCTCATTCCTGGGACCACAAGCTCCCCTCACGCAGTGTGCATTCCGTTTTGCATTGAATGAGGTGCTCTACAACAAACCTGTCCAACTGAGGTTCAAATTATCACGTTCTTGCTAAGGCTATCGACATCTTTATTTTGTGCAGAATCGAACCCTTTCCACACACCACCTTTCTTGTGCGTCTGACATCATCTGATTAAGACCTGTTGAACCTGCGAACCTGCCTCGGCATGGCTCGATAGAAGGGCATCAGCATGGCCCCATTGTCGTCAGTGAGGGCATGGTGAAACCTCAGCACAAGTAAGCAAAGTGAGCATTTTGCAGCACCAGTCTCTTAGAATCTCTTAAACCATATTTGCATAGTCCCCATGGTCCCCATGTTCGCTTGGTCTGGAAGTTGGCAAGATCGGCTGTGTCCCTGATATAGAGGCTCATCCAACGGACGGTACCGAGAAGCGCTTCGCTCTACGGCTAACACTCGCAGATGTTGGTTTTTGATTTTGGAAGGCATGTCATGACAATCTGCCATAGAACATGCAAGAGCTCACCTGACCTAAGCTCGGAACACACCTCTGAAGCGAACCAAAGGTAGCTTAGCGGGCCACAGCTCTGGGTCGAAGCGGATATTGACCTAGGACCATGGAAACATATTGACATATTCAATCCAATCACATGAGATGGGAATATCACGGAATATCGGGAATATCGTTGTTCAAATCACTCCAACCATAGAGAAATGTTCATAGCCCGGCACCTTGCAAGGTACGCCATAGGCCTCATCACCTTCTTTGCCACAAACACAAAGCTGAAGGTCCTTAGCACATGCGTAAATGGGTGCGGATGGGATGACAGCCATCTGGGAAGCAAACATAAAGTAGGATGATGCATGATGATGAATATATGATGAATATATGATGAATATATGTAGTAACTGTAACTGTAGTAACTAGTTCACAATATTTTACAGATGTGTAATGATGTGTAGCTCCTACTTAGACCATTTGCTGATCATGTCTTCTTTGCTGGCTTGAAATTCAGGGCCGCACCCAGGGGCCGTTCCTCGGTGAAGACAGTTTCGACATGTTTCCACACAAGGTTCTTTTGTTCTTCCTTGGAGTACACTGTACAACTAAAAAAAAGTATGTACATGCAATATAATATATATATATACACAATATGATTATGTAGTATAATGCAATCATATCAATTATAATTAACATATATCATATTATACGTATGTATATATATATAATTGAATATTATAATTGAATATTAATACATACATGCAATTACGTAATGTTATATATATATATATATGTATCAGCAAAATATCATTGACAGTGAAACAAGTCATTAAAGAATTGAGGACACAAATGTTGGAACAGGTTCCACAGCTAGGGATGGGCGCAGCCGAGCTACTTCTGTGGATTCTCAGGAACTTTGAGCTGTCCATGCTCATCGCAAATTAACTTTGGTGTCCTGAGCCCGCATGGTGGTCAACACTTCGCATTTAAATGGTCTTTTCAGAGATGCTTTTCGGACCGGTTCGGAAGCACATAAATGCGCCCGTCCAAAACATTCTCCAAAATAGCAAAGTTAATGCAGCCGCGCTATTGTGAAGGGCGAGGATGTGCTGCCAGGCTTCTGCAGTTCGCCAATGTCTTTCACCTCAGCAAGTTCCGAAACCTGTCTGGGATTGATTCTACTGGTACTTTTTGATAGGGCTTCAGGCTTCAGGATTCATACAATGAAATAAGTGGAGACAATTCGGATGGAATCAGTAGAATCCTTGCGGACTGTGACTGACTGTGACAGGGTTTTGGCGTGTCCCTTGTTACATTCCAGAAAATTAGTGAAAGAGGGCGCTCAGGAAATTCAACACAGAACCTTGATCTAGTCACCTCGATATTCCTCCCAGAATCATGTCCACAATGTGAAGGAAAACATTGCTACAAAGTGAAAGCTGTCGTTGTTGCTTTCTCAGGCACATAATGGGGTGGATCAGCTTTCAGCTCAGCAATCTCCTTCTCCAACTCCTGCCAGAGGGAAAAAAACAGGACTGCTCAGCTCCGAGAAAACCAAATGATGCTGAAACTGTTCTGACACATTTGGCAAATACCTGGACATACCTGGACTCTGAATTGCAGGCAGATTCTTTTTTTGACTGTTCAGTTCAGCTTGTCACAACTTGTCCTCCAAGCTAAAGGGAATAAGCCGTCTACATCTCTTCGCCGCCGGCTCCGGCTCTGGAAGCTCTAGAGGCTCCGGAGAGGCGGAATAGTCCGAGGACTCGTCTTCCATGGCAGCTGTCACGCATACGTCTGCATATGTCTGCAGAGTATTGTGTTGTTTCAAAGTAAATGTATCTTGCAACTCTTGGGGGGCTATCTGGTCCGCGGCATGTGCAACAAACTTGCGTTGAGAACAATTGCAAATGGAAGCAGGAACCTCATCAAAGTAGGCCATTTGCTTGTTTCTCTGATTTGGTCGGAGAGACTTTGATTGAGATGGAGCACGACTATGACATGTCAATACTAGTAGCTGGAATTGAAGTTTGGAACTAAAAGTCAGGTTCGAGCCTGCCCATGACATGAGAAGTAAGTCGTGAAAATGTGTGTGTGTGTGTCCAGCAGCATATGCGAGGTGGCCGGCGAAAGTAATAGCCTAGGTGGATCAAAAGACATAGCGCATGCGTTGCATTTGTTTTCGAATCATCTAATCTGTTAAAAGGCCTCTGGATGGTCTGCTGTCCGCCTCAACAAGGATACCCACAAGCATGTTGAGCATCATGAAGGAGTTCAGGACAATGTAGCAAATAAATGCCTTGATTCAGCCAAAGAGGATTCCTTCTCAGCAGTCTCAAATGTCCAAATGATGCGTAGGTAAGTAAGTGAACAACATGAACAACTTTCAAGACTGTGCCCACTCTGCCCGAGCCCTTTCCCGCCAGTCATTCTTTCTTCGGCATACATCAGATTCCGTGCATCTCACTATCAAACGCAAATGCACATGCAAGGGGGGGACCAAACGCTATCAAGCCAAGCTACAGTCAGCATCCAGTAGTTGTCCTGTGCTCTGATGATATCCTTAGCATTGCAGTTGAGTGACCCTATGAACCAAAAGAATTATCCGTGGTTGTGTTGCACCTTGAAAGTTGATGGTACCGATTGGCCCAGCTAGTGAAGCAACTGGAGCACTGCACCAAACCGCTATGGAACAACTTTCCCGAATTCTGCATAAAATGTGTGTTGTCAGGAGACTAAAGTACCGGCATTGCGAACTCGCACTTCAAGTTTAGTAATTATAGCCATTGCAAACAGGTCTCGGAGCATTCAGTCACGTCGTCCAATATCGTGCCCATGATCAGCAGCGTGAGCATGCTCTTGTCCATGCTACCGAAATATTCGTGGATCTGAAGCAGCAGACGGTTTGTGTGGAGTCAAATAACGATCAAGACATCATTCAGGATGGTTCCAAAACGGTTCAGGAATCTAAGCCGCTGCACATAAGGAACCGAGCCGGTCCGGAATCGGAAAGAATAGAATCGTTTGGAATCGAATCGGGTTGAATCGACCAGGATTTTAAGGAACCGGAGCACAACAATTAAAAAGAATCGAATCAAACATGAATCGGTAGGTTACTTGAACCGAATCGCCTCGAATCGATTTTCAAGGGGAACCGAATCGACGGGAATCGAGACCATGCTTACCCGGGATCATATATATATAATATATATATAATTTAATATATATATATATATCTTGGATGTTTGTTTTGTATTGAACCACGCAAGTGCTGGAGATAATTATTGCACAAGCCCGCCACCCGCCAGTATCCGTCACGGCCCTTTTCCGTCTGAAACCAACAGCATGTGGCGCCAAGGAAATGCGTCTGAAACCGGATTGAAATCAGTCTGAAACCAATCAATCGATCACGTTATTAAACTCGGATTCGGAAGCTCCATCTATGTTGTTGTTTTTTGGGACTGAAACAGGTCTGAAACTCCTTGCAACCACGAGTCCCGCCAGCGATTCGGAACCGTGCTGCTAGGTCCGTGTCATGCGTGTTGATAACTAGCTTAGTATTAGGTGACATTACTGACTCAGTGCTAATCTCATTAGTACTGACTAATACTCAGCTAACCAACATTCGCGTGTGTCCAAGATGAGCCGTAGCTGAGCCGTATACTGGCCGGATACAGCAGAACTGCTGAGTTCTAGTCGGTTCTAAGGCTGCACCAAGCTGAGCCATATACTAGCCGTATAGAGCAGAAAAAGTAGTTGAAATCTACCTGAACTCAGCATGTCTGCTGTATACGGCTAGTATACGGCTCATCTTGGTCAAGCCCTAGAACTGACTTGAACTCAGCATTTCTGCTGTATAGGGCCAGTATACGGCTCATCTTCGGGGCTTGACCAACATGAGCCGTATAATAGCCGTATGCAGCAGATATGCTGAGTTCAAAAGAGTTCCAGAGCTTGACCAAGATGAGCAGTACAGTATACCAAATTCGATTCTACGCTCATGATGTAGTTGCAATCTACCTGCAACCAATTACATCCGTACCTGGAGACGCATTTGCGGCTCCCTGTACGGACGCAATTGGTTTCCGATGAATTTTCTCTTCGTTCTTTGACAAAGAGATCTATCTCAATGGTTGCCAAACGGATGGATGCTCTCCATGCTTTGCTTTCTAAGGTTCCAGACTGATTTCAAACTGTCATACAATTAAAATCTAATTGAAACCAGCTTGCCCATGTGAAACCAGTTTGAAAGCAGTCTGAAACCTTAGAAAGCAGCACTTGAAGAGCATCCGTTTGGGACCTTCTCTGCTGTATACGGCTAGTATACGGCTAGTATACGGCTCATCTTGGTGCAGCCTTAGAACCGACTAGTACTCAGCATTTCTGCTGTATACGACCAGTATACGGCTCATCTACGGCTCATCTTGGACACGCGCAAATTTTGGCTAGCTAAGTATTCATCCGTACTAGTGCGATTAGCAATGAGTCAGTCATGTCACCTAAGGTAGTTATCAACACTCATGACACTTACGTAGCAGCACGGGTCCGAATCGCTGGCGGGACAGGTGGTCCAATGAGTTTCAGACCTATTTCAGGCCCAAACAACAACCTAGATGGAGCTTCCGAATCCGATTTACAAGAAATCTACCTGAAACCCATTACGTCCGTACCTGGAGCTGCTGTATACGGCCAGTATACGGCTCATCTACAGGGCTTGACCAACATGAGCCGTATAATAGCCGTATGCAGCAGATATGCTGAGTTCAAAAGAGTTCCAGAGCTTGACCAAGATGAGCAGTACAGTATACCAAATTCGATTCTACGCTCATGATGTAGTTGCAATCTACCTGCAACCAATTACATCCGTACCTGGAGACGCATTTGCGGCTCCCGGTACGGACGCAATTGGTTTCCGATAAATTATCTCTTCGTTCTTTGACAAAGAGATCTATCTCAATGGTTGCCAAACGGATGGATGCTCTCCATGCTTTGCTTTCTAAGGTTCCAGACTGATTTCAAACTGTCATACAATTAAAATCTAATTGAAACCAGCTTGCCCATGTGAAACCAGTTTGAAAGCAGTCTGAAACCTTAGAAAGCAGCACTTGAAGAGCATCCGTTTGGGACCTTCTCTGCTGTATACGGCTAGTATACGGCTAGTATACGGCTAGTATACGGCTCATCTTGGTGCAGCCTTAGAACCGACCAGAACTCAGCATTTCTGCTGTATACGACCAGTATACGGCTCATCTACGGCTCATCTTGGACACGCGCAAATTTTGGCTAGCTAAGTATCCATCCGTATTACTGCGATTAGCAATGAGTCAGTCATGTCACCTAAGCTAGCTATCAACACTCATGACACTTACGTAGCAGCACGGGTCCGAATCGCTGGCGGGACTGGTGGTTCCAATGAGTTTCAGACCTGTTTCAGACCCAAAAAACGACCTAGATGGAGCTTCCGAATCCGACTTAGAGGAAATCTACCTGAAACCCATTACGTCCGTACCTGGAGCTGCAAACGTGGCTCCAGGTACGGATGTACTGGGTTTCAGGTAGATTTCAATTACATCATGAATGTAAGAAAAAAGGTTCTCTTCTACTTGTTTCTCTAGCCAAATGCCCACCGACTTATATGTAATTTACTTTTTCTGGGAAAATATCCCGTATGATTGGCTCTCTCTCCTTCCCCCCCTAGAATTTCAGGGCTTCTTTAAGAGGGTTTCAGAGCGGTTTCAAAGAGGTTTCCAAAACTTCAATATGGTGTTCATGTGTTGTATTTTTAAATTAAATGTGTGCAATTGAATATCTGCTACCAAGCGGTAAAAAAAGAAACCGATAAGGACATCTATACAGATGCATTTTTGTCGGTGTATACATACCACACCTGTTTGGGTCCAAGGTGGGACTTCTAGTTTTTAGACGTTTTTCGGAGGTTCCATCCATACCAAAGCTACATAGATACATACATACAGACCTGCATACCTACATTAGTGCAGCCGCAATTCGGTAGTATTGCAATCGTAATTGGATCTGCCGAATTACGATTCCAATTTAACCGAATTAAAACCGCCTACATACCAAAGCTACATAGATACATACATACACACCTACATACCTACATGAGTGCAGCCGCAATTCGGCAGTGTTGCAATCGTAATTGAATCTGCCGAATTACGATTCCAATTTAACCGAATTAAAAGCGCCTACATACCAAAGCTACCATAGATACATACATACACACCTGCATACCTACATAAGTGCAGCCGCAATTCGGTAGTATTGGAATCGTAATTGAATCTGCCGAATTACGATTCCAACTTAACCGAATTAAAAACGCCTACATACCAAAGCTATACATTGATACATATACACACCTACAATTGGCATCGTAATTGGATCTTCCAAATTACGATTTCAATTTAACCGCATCACAAACGGCTACATAGCAACCGTGCATAGATACATATATTACTATAAACATCTATAAACATAGATATATACATAAGCACCTACATACCTACATATGAGCCACAGCTTAGGAGCTCTAGCTTCCTAGGGTTTCCAAGTGGTTTCAAAGCAGTTTCAATGTTTTTTTTCCTTTTTGGTTCGAATTAAAAAATGCTGGTAGATGTAGGTTTGAATTAAAAACGCCTACATACTAAAGCTATATAGATACATACATACACACCTGCATACCTACATGAGTGCAGCCGTAATTCGGTAGTAGTGCAATCGTAATTGGATCTGCCGAATTACGATTCCAATTTAACCGAATTAAAAGCGCCTACATACCAAAGCTACATTGATACATATACGCACCTACAAGCGCAGCCGTAATTCGGCAGTATTGGCATCGTAATTGGATATGCCGAATTGCAATTCCAATTAAACCGACTTACAAACGGCTACATAGCAACCCTGCATAGATACATATATTACTACAAACATAGATACATACCTAAGCACCTACATACCTACATATGAGCCACACACAGCTTCGGAGCTCTAGCTTCCTAGGGTTTCCAAGTGGTTTCAAAGCAGTTTCAATGTTTTTTTCCTTTTTGCTTCGAATTTAAAAATGTTGGTAGATGCAGGTTTGAGTTAAAAACGCCAACATACCAAAGCTACATAGATACATACATACAGACCTGCATACCTACATGAGTGCAGCCGCAATTCGGTAGTATTGGAATCGTAATTGGATCTGCCGAATTACGATTCCAATTTAACCGAATTAAAAACGCCTACATACCAAAGCTACATAGATACATACATACACATACATACCTACATGAGTGCAGCCGCAATTCGGTAGTATTGCAATCGTAATTGGATCTGCCGAATTACGATTCCAATTTAACCGAATTAAAACCGCCACATACCAAAGCTACATTGATACATACATACACACCTACATACCTACATAAGTGCAGCCGCAATTCGGTAGTATTGGAATCGTAATTGGATCTGCCGAATTACGATTCCAATTTAACCGAATTAAAAACGCCTACATACCAAAGCTACATAGATACATACATACACACCTGCATACCTACATAAGTGCAGAAGCAATTCGGTAGTATTCGAATCGTAATTGAATCTTCCGAATTACGATTCCAATTTAACCGAATAAAGAACGCCTACATACCAAAGCTATACATTGATACATATACACACCTACAATTGGCATCGTAATTGGATCTTCCGAATTACGATTTCAATTTAACCGCATCACAAACGGCTACATAGCAACCCTGCATAGATACATATATTACTACAAACATAGATACATACATAAGCACCTACATACCTACATATGAGCCACACAGCTTAGGAGCTCTAGCTTCCTAGGGTTTCCAAGTGGTTTCAAAGCAGTTTCAATATT